GTCTTAGAGTCAATCGTAGACATGAACGTGCATTGTCAATTATCTGCCACAAGTTGTATTTTTTTAATCAATACTGCGCATAAGGCTTCGGCTTTACATTGCTATTAGGTTAAAGTCTTAGAGTCTTCACCCGTAGAAAACTTTTGCCTCGTTTTACACTGCTGAACAGCACAGCATGACACACTACCTCCATACTACAGGCACCTCCCCTTTATCTGGACTCCAGGGTTTCTTTCAGACATTTTTCTCCGGGGGTGTAGGTGTGTATGGGGGGGGGGGGGGGTAGCTGGTTAAAATATATTTTTTTTCTATATGAATCAAGTACTTTTTCTTTTCGCCCGGAAGACGTATTCGGGGAGGGGGGTGGGGAATAGGGGCACTGCCCCCTACCCCCAAGGAAATACCTGAAAAAAAAATTATTTTGGCATCCCTCATTAACCAGTCTGAATACCCAACATCCCTACGTCCATAAAACAGACATCACTCTCTAAGCAGCCGAACAGCCCGCAGCCCAGACAGCCCTTACAGCCGGCACTAGCGTAGATAAGACGAGACGGGAGTTGAGTTACCTGCCGGCAGATGGAATCATTTGATGTCGCTGGCTACAACTTTATCAGACGGCCTAAGTGGTCCTGACGTTTACACGGGGTTTAACCAGACGACACTTTTGATGCACGGGCCCGGTAGATGCCGGCACCGGAAGCCCTTCAAGAAAAGTTTCTTATTTCAAATACGTCTGATACACATATTATTAGATCTGTTTCTGTCTTTAAGCTAGTATTTGACGCCAGAATTTAGCTACAATTTCTAGGAATAATACGATGATATCGTCATTATAATAGAAAGAATCTACCTAAGAGTAAAATGCAGCTGCTTAGAAAAGACGCCAGAAAAATGTTTGATTAAAGCGGCCAAACTCAAAAGTGTGCAGCCGTGTTGTTATGCTGAGTGGTGATTACCATATAAGAAAGGCACTGGTAGATGGGGTCTACTGATAACTCCACAACATACAATTGGGTGATTACCATATAAGTAAGACACGTTGAGCAACAGCTGGTTTGGTTTTTGAACTGCTAGCATAAAACATGCCTCACTTTACTGTTGTCACTGGCTCGTAGTTGTTGGGGTTTTATTGTTCTGTTGTTATGGTCAACATAAATCGATAGTGTATCAATACCTTGTATCCAAAAGCTATCTTCTCAAATCTGTTCACACGTGGGCGACGAACCAGTAATTTAATTCTCCACGTGTAAAGCCGTTAGTGGCCTGGATTGTCCTCGTGATCTGCTGTCGTCTGCGGGGGGGGGGGGGGGGGGTGAGCAGGACTTTTTTCCTGGGGCAAGTTGTTACCAGAAGTCTGTAACAAGTTGACCGTTGTGTTCTGGAATACAGTTGGCTTTAACGCCTCGGGTTAATGTTTGGGAGATCAAATGGGTGCCAGAGAGTGTACTGTGGTCTGTCTCTTGTCGTGTCTTGTAATAGCACAGGCAGTCGCTACACAACTGTAGGGTACGGGGAATCTTAAAGACGGAGAAGTGGGAAGTGTGGGTAGGTTTTAGCTCGTAACGTCATTGTTTCAGATTCATGGGTGGATTAGCTGCGTCCAAGAGGCCCAGGAAATTTTTAAAGGGGCCTCAGATTAAAATGTTCAATATGTCTTTTTTCCCACACCAAAGCCTGAATTTCACGCCTTGTTATAAAGAATGGAAATAGAATAATGGAGAAATATCAACAATTTAAAAAAAAATCTAAACACTAATAGGATTAAATCAGCATCGCTCTTGGGGGCCCATCGAGAATTTCTCCTGGGGGCCCACCGGTAGTTTTCCCGGTAGACTGGCGGGCCAGTGCACCCCTGCCTAAATTTTTAATTTTAGCAGGGACATGCTCCTACTTTGACAGCTGATTGTACACTATGGAATTACATATAAGTATCACTCGCGGGGGCGGACCCCTGATCTATAAGTCACTCTAACAGTTGTACGATCGTGTACTTGGTGTTATGTTGGCTGGCAGTTGACCACTCTGGTGGTTGTTGATCTGTAGCTGGCTACAAACGTGGACAAATATGATGTCCAGTTCACACGTTGGCAGCTGACCACTCTGGTGGTTGTTGATCTGTAGCTGGCTACAAACGTGGACAAATATGATGTCCAGTTCACACGTTGGCAGCTGACCACTCTGGTGGTTGTTGATCTGTAGCTGGCTACAAACGTGGACAAATATGATGTCCAGTTCACACGTTGGCAGCTGACCACTCTGGTGGTTGTTGATCTATATCTGGCTACAAACGTGGACAAATATGATGTCCAGTTCACACGTTGGCTGGCCGCTGGTACGGTGGTCTCGTGAACTTGTGTAGCAGTCATTCGGTCATGTAAATAAATTTAAAAATAGCTTCAGGCCATCACTTTACATGTGTGTGTTACTTAGCTGGGTATTTTACTAGGCCATAAACATATGACCGATATTGATTTGTCCAACGATCTCATAATTTAATAAATTTCGATTAAGTTAAAATCTCTAACTTGGGCAAATTTGCTTGTGTTATAGGGACACAACTGTTGCAATGTTCTCTGCATTTGAAATCCCGCAGTGAGGCGGTTTTTAATTATTTTACCCACTGGGAGGTAGGTCAAAAATGAACCATGCAATTTCAGCTCGATACACCCTGTCTAGTTATTTTGGTGTAAGTTTTGATGTGTTATATAATGTTAAAAATAAAATGAGTCATCTATTCAAAAGCCGAAAATTCAAACCACATGCGTTTGATTCTCTGACCACGACATATGGGTAGGTTGTGGAGAGGGGAACTAATACAGAGCCCAAACACCATTGTCCATACTCGGCTACTAACAGTGCAGTACGGGGTATAAGGTCACGTGTCGCAAGGGCAGAGTTCACGTGTGTTACTCATGCCTTTGCTATAATAGTCGCTCATTTTATTGGCGCATCATAGTAAAAATCAGAGCTTTAATTTTATTTTTTTCATTTGAAATGTTTTTGAAGTTTTAAAAAAGACAGACTGCAGTTCATCGTCGTATCTCCGAGTCCTAATGTAGCCATGTTCACGTAACTACGTCGATGAATTGTATTTTCCCGTAAAAAACGACTGGTTGAACTTTTTGTATGTTGTAGTCTAAACATAAACGCCTTTTTTTTTTGTAACCAGTTTTGTTCTGAGAATTTGTAATGAAACTAAAATTTCATGAAACCGAAGAAGCGGCATCATTCTGTTAAGACACAGTTATTCACAATCCAATAAATTAACCGTTTAAAATGTACTAGTGTGCACGCATTTTTGTGGGAAATAAGTTGTTACAATTAAAATTCAATCGATTACTTAAATGATTTTTTTTTAAATTCTCACATTACAGCCAAACTCATCTGAGGGGTCGGGTCGTCCATAAATGACGTCAACTGGGTGTTAACGGGTTCGGACGTCTGGTTGGGGGAGGGGGTGGGTTAAAGTACAAAAGTGACGAAACATGTTAATTTAAGTGAGAATTACGGTTATTATATTGTTGTTAGAATTTTCTGGCGTCATTTTGTAGGTGATTGAGTTACGTGCGGGGAGGGTGGAGGGAGGTTTCAAATAATGATGTTGTTTACGGACGAACACATCAACTCAATATCCGCACCCTTACTCACCGATTTCGGGATGGGTAAATCGTACTTTATTAAAAGCCTGTTGCCAAAAAAAAAATCATCGGACCTTCCGTTTGAAATCAAATCCAGGATTCTTCTCTCTTCTAACATCAGGATAGCTTGTACGTTGTACCTCGTTTGATTTTGTGGGTTGGTCAAAGCGCGATAACTCTCACAGTGGAAACCACGTTTGATGTATCATTCCTAGCGGAAGAGCTAATCTCGCAAAGGGGAGTAAGATCAAAAGAAGCACTTCGTGTCGTGTTTAGTACACCAAGCACCAACCACTAAGTTAATAGCCTCCCCTGTGATACTAGATCATCCTAACTCAGACCATCAGCCCTATCAATTTATCCTCAGCTTATCAACGTTCTCTCCATTACCTTTTAATTCCAGTAGTAAAGATAAAGCATACAGTCAATATCAGTTAGGCCTAAAAAAAAAATAAGCTTATTGTCCCCACCCTGTCCCCTAACCAGAATTTTCATCCAAATCAGGATTCAGCGATCCTTGTCTTTCTAGCAGATTGGAGCTTTATTTAATATTTTAATAACAATTAGAAACCTGAGACTAAGAATTCAGAAAATTAAATGAAGAATAATGTGCTTCTAGCTTTCAATTTAATGATATTTCTGCAGTTAAACTTTAAACATTTCAAAACTACAATTCAAAGTGGCTCCCTACATTATTTATTTGACAGAAATATTTTATAAAATGTCTCTGATTTTTTAAAAATAATCATACCTGTAAGCATTGAGCAGGGGATGGATACAATCAGTGTTTCTTCCAGACTTTTTTCTCCGGGGGGCACTTGAAATCTTCGGGGGTGCTGTAAACTTTCTTCGGGGGGGGGGGGGGGGCGGACACTGTTAAAAGTATATATTTTCTATATAAATGATACAAATTTCATTTCGTTCGGGGGGGGGGGGGGCGGTAAAAATTTTTCGGGGGGGCAAAGCCCCCCCCGAAGAGATGCCTGGAAGAAACTCTGGATACAATGACAAGACAACATTATCCTAGCATTTAGAAATGTATGTAGGTTTATACATAAAAAGATATTATTTTATTATAGTTGACATGTAACATAATCTTCATATGATTAAATCTCCTACCAGCATCTGGTCCTGAATATTATAAAGGCTCAAATACCCTTTCCCAAGCTCCTCAGATATCAGCTTTAGTACTGTATGCTTCACTATAAAGGGTTTTGAAACTTATGGCTTTGATTAAAGCTCATTACAAAAATAACCTTTGAGCCTTTAAGTACTTACCACTGTAACTGAATTAGCTAACTTCATTTGTATGGGGGTTGAGTTTGAGTGCCAGCTGAACAAGTATTTTCTGTGTTGTAGGTGTTTGAAGAGATCATCAAGAAGACCAGGCCGGAGAGTGAGAAAATTGACTGGCACGACTACGCTGCTATTGAGAAGGAAAAACAGAGGCAAGGTAAACCCTGTGTTCTGGTTAAATTGGTTCTCATTATGGGGTGGGGAGTTAATAGGGCTGGTAAGTAGGTCACCAACCAGTTCTCCGGCTCAATAAAACCTGCATGAGCCATATAACTGGTTGGTGACCTACTTACCAGCCCTATAACTATTTGCTGTTTCAACCAGGATTTGTTATATATACATGGCCATGGTGATAGTTCCTACATACATACTTCATCAATGTGAAGAAGCAAAACCCAATGTGTTGTCAAATTGTTTTCCCATTACTGTAGAGGGGCAAAGGTGTGTCTGTTTATGTGTGTGTATGTCTGTGTAAATGTTCACTTGCTGACTGACAACCAGGTGAGATTATACACATTGCAAGTGTTCCTACCAATACACTTGATCATGGAGTCCAAGTAAAACAAAGGCAAAAGTTCAGTGGTGTGGTTTATTGTTTGCCTTATATGTACAAGAGTCATAGTGTGCATGTTCCTCTGTTTACAAATATATTTGTTGAATGGTGTCCCAACATCCCTGTTAGATTATACTTATAAATGACTGTTCCCATGTATACACCATTTCAATGTAAACATAACTACAGAATCCATTGGTTGCACTTATTGATGAAACTATTAGGTTGTAAAATGTATTGATCCTGTGCTTAGTTTTCAACTGGTTTCATTTCACTGATTTATGAAAGTTAGAGATAATATAATTGTTTACAGGTTGTTGTTTTTTTTATATTTATACAATATAAAAATGTTTATTCCATTTAGTCAGACTCATGTAATTAATAAGATTTGTTAGTTTGGGTTTATACTTACCATACATCATAACTAGCAGATGTTGCATTGATCTCCTTAGATGCGTCCATATATAATGTATCCAGGTTAACTGGGGGTGGGTGGATTCAGATTCTAGCTACTTTGTATTTCAGGAGAGGGGTGGTAGGGAAATAAAATTTTGTAGAAAAAAATATTTATGAAAGCTGTTAATTATTTTTTATATTAGGGGGTGGGAGTTTGGTATGTGATGACATCTAGTGTTTGGTATTTTTGCTTAATTTTTTCGAATGATAGGTTGATGTGTAAAAATAGTCTCAAATATTATAAGATCATTTACGTACCACCCTATACAGTACTGTAGGCTATTATTGTAATTTTAATGTAATGCCTCATTGTTTTTTTTTCTTCTCCACATCTAGGTCCTGGAGAACAGGGTACTGCCTTTGTTCTTCCTAAAGAAGATGAAGCTTCAAAGCAATCTCTGTATAATTCCAACGGATTTAATGCTTTAGCTAGTGATAAAATTTCGTTAGAGCGGTCCCTGTCTGATATAAGACATCCTGAGTAAGTTGTGTGAATATTCACTTTTTGTAACATGAGTTGTATTATCAACAGAATATAGTAGGTCAATGTTTTTAAAATGGCTGTCAAAACCAAGAAAAAATGAACTATATTTTTTTTTCAATCTACTGATATAATTTATTTTTTAAAATTCTTATGGTGGTATTTCATTTATTTTTGCAGTTTAATCTATGCTATGTTACCAAACATTCCATCAGCTATTTGCAAGGGACATTTAGTTCCTCTAAATATGTTGTTTTTTTTTGTGGTAACAGACTTAATTTGTCTTTTCAGTTGCCAGAAAAAGAAATACCTCAAGTTCCTGCCCACGGCTAGTTTTATAATCCCATTCCACAATGAACACTTATCCACCCTGCTTAGGTCAGTGTATAGTATTATCAATAGAGCACCAAAAGAGCTTGTCAAGGAGATTATCCTAGCTGATGATTACAGCTCAAAAGGTAAAATAGCTTTTATTCTTTTATTTTCTCAGTTGTAGTTCTTACAATTTAGGATTAAGTTTTGTCTCTTTAACTTTAAATAAGTTTAGTCTTTTTAATGTAATTGTTGTGGCCAAGTGTTTTAACTGAGTTTTACATTAACTTCAGAATTTTATTTTGAATGAAGGTGTAAGATTCTGTGTTAAAAAACTACAATCTTTAATATCTTTAATAACCAAAGCTTTTTATTTTATCAAGCAACTACACTGTAAAGCAATTTATGCAACATGTAACATTTATTGATTATTAACACTAGCTTAAGAAACTAAACTAAAGAATAAGTGCTGAACAACCCATGATTTTAGAAATTTAAAAAATGTAATATTATTTAATATATTTAATATGTTAATTAGAATACAATAACAATTGTTTTATGGACATCCTTGATAGAAATATGTTAAAACATCATTAATGATTTTCTTACTCGATAGTTGTAAAAAAATCTAGGGGATGATTACATGGAAAAATTTTTATCATTGATGAATTTCTTACTAGATATCAGTAAAAAATCTTTAGATGATTACATGAAAAACCATTTTATCATTGATGAATTTCTTACTAGATAGCAGTAAAAAATCTTTAGATGATTACATGAAAAACCATTTTATCATTGATGAATTTCTTACTAGATAGCAGTAAAAAAGCTTTTGATGATTACATGAAAAACCATTTTATCATTGATGAATTTCTTACTAGATAGCAGTAAAAAAGCTTTGGATGATTACATGAAAAACCATTTCATCTTTGATGAATTTCTTACTAGATAGCAGTAAAAAAGCTTTGGATGATTACATGAAAAACCATTTTATCATTGATGAATTTCTAACTAGATAGCAGTAAAAAAAAATCTTGGGGATGATTACATGAAAAACCATTTTATCATTGATGAATTTCTTACTAGATAGCAGTAAAAAAGATTTGGATGATTACGTGAAAGAACATTTTATCATTGATGAATTTCTTACTAGATAGCAGTAAAAAAGATTTGGATGATTATGTGAAAGAACATTTCACCAATGTCCGAGTGGTCAGAGCTGAGCGACGTGAAGGGTTGATCAGAACAAGGTTACTAGGGGCTAAAGCAGCCACAGGAGATGTCCTCATATTTCTGGACTCCCACATTGAATGTAACATCAATTTTCTCCCACCACTTTTAGGTAAGTGACTTTTTAAAGAACATATCTAGCATGTTATTTTTACAAGTTGTGTGGCCACTGAGTCACTAAAAGAAATATCAATCTGTCAAAAGGATGAAAATAGTACATGTGAGACTAAAACTAGTAAAATAGGTTTTTCTTTTTGATAATGTCTGTGACTGATACCCAGCTGTCTACACTTGCTTCTGCAGATCTCACATAGATTTTTAGTGGTTTCTTGAACTCATATATTTAACCCAATATTAGATAAAGGTTGTGGCTAGTTTTGGTGACTGAGGTATTATAAGTAGTGTCTAGTTTTAGATTTTCTTGACACTGTAAATATTGTAACTCAGTTTTCCTCATGATCAATGTTTACTAATTTTGCTGTATGTATCATTTCACAATTCTGCACTTACAAATAGTAATGCTGGTTATGGAGATCTAACTCCAATTTTTTTTCTATACAGAACCAATAGCTGAAAACTATCGCACAACAGTCTGCCCATTTATAGATGTTATTGATTATGAAAACTTTCAATATCGTGCACAAGATGAGGGGGCCAGAGGAGCTTTTGACTGGCAATTTTTTTATAAACGTCTTCCGCTGTTGGAAGAGGATAAAAAGAATCCTTCAGAACCATTTGCGTAAGTATTTTTTTGTGTTCCTGTTTTGCACAAGTAAAACTGTTCAGTTAGAGGTTTTCCATTAGTAATGTCAAGCACCTAGGTGTACTAACTTTTAGTGACATTTCGCTATGTGGGAATAGATTCTAGTTATTTTAGAAAGGGGTAGATTTTTAGATAATATTTATGGAAGGTGGGGTTGTTTCATTTGGTTTCAGTGGAGACAGTATAGGGGGGGGGGTATAAATTGGTTAAAATACTGTGGTGTCATTTGCTATACTAGCCTTACAATTCAAAATGATTTCTTAAAATTGTGTATAGGGCCTACTAAATTTAACTTTATGATTTTCACTATATAAACCAATTCAATTATGTTTCCAGCAATCCTGTTATGGCTGGTGGACTTTTTGCCATCAGCAGAGAATGGTTTTGGGAATTGGGTGGCTATGATCCAGGTCTTGATATTTGGGGCGGAGAACAGTACGAGTTGTCTTTCAAGGTATTTGTAATCTGTTTACTGTTTACTTAGAAACGGACACATGGCAGCATTTGTTGCCCATCCTTACTTGAAGTCCTCAACAAAACAAATTTTTATAAAATGGTTCTCGGTTAAACTTTTTCACGTGCCTTGGTTTGGTCAATTTTCAAATTGAGGTAAAATCAAATGTTCTAATTTTATTGTTCCATAGCTTGAGCTGTGTTGTTGGTTTTGTGTAATCAGGGGTTTTCTGGAATGTTATTTTGAAACAGCTTTTATCAATCATACACTGTTTAAGTTATTTATTTTTCTATATTCCCAGTAAAATTACATTTGTGAAATTTCCTGTGTTTTTAGAAAGATGATTTAGGCATACTTATAACTAAATGACTTCAACTTCCTAATCTAGATCTGGCAGTGTGGTGGTAGAATGGTGGATGCTCCGTGTTCTAGGATAGGACATATATATAGAAAGTTTGCACCATTTCCTAACCCTGGTGTAGGAGACTTTGTTGGAAGGGTTAGTACTCTGGTTTGATGAGTCTTTTTTTCAAAATCTATTATCATGTATCTTTCATGTAGTGTTGTGATTAATTTTTTAAAATTAAACTTTTATTTTAAGTGGAATAAATACTTTTTAAAAAAAACTTTAAAAAATATCATCACAGAATTATAAGCGTGTAGCAGAAGTTTGGATGGACGAGTATGCTGAGTTTATTTATGACCATCGACCACACTACCGAAATCTGGATGCCGGTGATCTGACAGTACAGAAAGAAATCCGAGAAAAGTTAAAATGCAAATCTTTCAAATGGTTTATGACTGAAGTGGCGTTTGATCTTGTGAAATTCTATCCACCCGTGGAGCCACCGCCATTAGCAGAGGGAGAGGTACTGACTGGAACTTAAATTATATGAATAGCTGCTATTGTAGGCTATATAATTGCAGAACACATTTTTTTTCAATGTAATCTGTGCTCAATATTTATGTAGACTACTAGATACGTTTTTAATATTATTGAACTTGAGACAATTAAAAGTAAAATTTTGATATTACGAGAAGTAAATAGTCTTCATAAAATTATTGACTATTAGTATTAGTCATAGTTTTATTTTAGTGCCTTAGACAAAATGTGATATTCAAAATATTAATTTTATCTGCAATGTTTTTTAATAATTATGTGATTAAAATATTTTTAAATTTTATTTGCAAGATTCGTAATGTTGGCAGCGACTTCTGTATAGACACAAATTTTAAACCAGAAGGTCAAAGAGTTGTTCTGGCAAAGTGTGTCAAAGGTGAATCACAGGGAGGAGAGCAAGTATGTTTTGTTTTAGTTTTTTTTCTGATTATTTGTGCTGTACTGCTCTAAAAATTTAAACATTGCAGGATTTTTCAAGTAAAAATTTCAGTTTATTTAGTTGTTGTAAGTATGAATATGTAGGCCTAATTATTTTTAAAATGTAGATCTGTACATTTACACAAACAAAATAACTGCACTGTCTTTAACAAAATGTGCTTTTATTTTTCTTAAAGGTGATTTGCTGATGTAAAAAATGTACCATTTCTTGTCATTTACCAGATTTAAAAAATCTATTACAAAAATGTGTGCAATCTTTTCTATTTTATTTTTTATTTTATATAATTGCATTCTAACTGAAAATATTATTTAATAAATACTAACTTTTTGAAATGTCTTACCTCATTGAAATAGGTGTTAATTATATAATGTAAATAATTTTACAGTTCTTTTCATATAACACAGATATTCTAATTTGTAAAAATTATGGATTTTAGGTTTTTGAATTTACCTGGCACAAAGATATTCGGCCAAAGAGAAGAACAGTTTGTTTTGATGTGTCTGAGAGTAAGCCCAGAACTCCAGTTGTTCTATACAATTGTCATGGCTCTCAGGGTAACCAGAGGTTCAAGTATAACACGGTAATTAGTATTACTTTTATAGTTCCATTTTTAATTTAGGCCTAGCTAGGCATTGTTTTACCAAGCTGTATAACACGGTAATTAGTATTACTTTTATAGTTCCAATTTTCATTTAGGTAGGCATTGATTTATCAAACTGTAGGCCTATAAAATTGTAATTAGTTTAAATTTTAAAGATTAGGCTCTAATGTAACTATGATTGATATGCCAAACCAAACTGTATAACATGGTAATTATAGTATGTTATTGTTCATTTCTTAATTTAGCTGGGAATTGATTTCTCAGTCGAAGTATTTCTCTGAATGTTTTTAGAAATATACCCTGCTAATACATCAAATCATTTGTATTTTGCGTAAGCTAAAAAGAACCCTTAATTAACACCTGGAAGAAAATGTGTAATATATTAATAAACATTTGTAGAGCTAAAATTGATAAATAAAACCACATTTTGAAATTATTTCTGCTTTGAGGCAAAGTAGCCATTTTGCTTGTTATAATATTCCTACATAATTGGTGAATCCTCTTTCTGTGTCGATGTTCTTATGTTCTCATTGTATCAAAGAAATCACCATAAACACACCATTCTTTTAGGTGACATTCTGTATCATTTAGAAGTCTTTTTTAAAAATTGGAACAACAGTACTTCATTATTACCATGTAATAAAGTTGTTTTGTTTTTTTATTTAACAGGAGAGTCAACAACTTTACCACCCCATTAGTGGTCTTTGTTTAGATAGTGATAGTATGAGCTTAGAGTTGTATATGAATCCGTGTGATACAGCAGCAACAACTCAACGCTGGCAGTTTGAGAAACCTGATCTGGAAGCTTTAAAAAAAGATTTTGTTTTACCCTTAGGCAGCTAGTAAGAGTGGTAATATGTATAGCATTTTTATTTATTTACTATTGGGTTGGTTGCAAGACAATGAGTTTGTGTTTTGCCATACACATAATGAATTGTTTGAATGGTACTGCTAATGGTCTATATTTAAATCATAAGAGGCAACTCAGATGTTTTTGGTATTTTTATAAAATACTTTGATTGTTGATTGAAAGGATTGTCTCACTAGGTGAAAAAGTATTGTTACAAACTTTTTTACATATAACTTGCTGTCAAATCTACGTATTGTGTTTGTTATTATGACTAATTTGTCCATATCAAAAACTGTTTCATTCACAATTTAAATAAACAACGACAACCAGTTTGCAAATAATGAGTTTACTTTAACATCAATTTCTGAAATACTTCCATGTACTATAATCAAAGCAATAATTTTTATCCTTATTTTGAGCTTGTTTTTAAGTTATAAAACATGTATAAAAGAAATATATATATTTCTACATAACAGAATATTTTCACTATTGTATCTGTTTTTATCAAAAGTTAAATATGATGGAACGTTAAAAAATCAAATGTGCCTGAGAGTAAAATTTTCAACAAGTATTTTGATGAAAATATTTTTACACAATAACTTATCAGTATACATTTATACAGTTGTTTTTTATACAATTATTACATGTAAGTTTAATATGATAAAATCCATTACTTTAAATGAACTAAAAACCTTTATTTTATTCAAACAAAAATCAATACAATAAATAAATTAAATAGCAAAAGTTAATTGCACATGTGTTGCATCATGTCAGAAATATTTTTTTACTACTGCTGGTTTCTGTGTGTTATCTCATTTTCCTTTATCACTAGTTATCGCATAATAGACACTTCATCTGAGTATATTTTTTAAGTCTTTTCAGTTTTTTATATTTATTTGCGTTACCAACTTTGTATATTTGAAATATATATTTTTTATAATAAAAGGTGGAGTATTCAAGTATAACTTTAAATGTGAGGGGGGACACTACATGTTTATTCTTTTTTTTTTTACAAAATTTTTTTTTTGTAGCACATGTAGATTTTTCACCCTGTAATATTTTGCTAATTAAATAAAAATTAATGTGGAGTCATCAGTGATTGCTCACACTGTAATCTTTTTTAAAATACATTCCCTTAACCCAATTAAAATATCAGGTAACTGTTTGTTGACAATATTGATGTCTAATGTGGCCATACCTATAAACTGTTCTCATTAATACTAACCCTGGAAAAATGTACGTAAGAGAACCTAATATTAGTTATATTTTCACCTATTGGTGTTTTGATGTATTTTAATTAAAAGTAAACGGGAAAATCTTTACACTTCTTAGTATTCTGTGCTGCACATATTATACGTCCTTTATACTGTGAGGGAACTTTGTGGCTTCCTTTTATATGTTAATCTCTGGGTTGTTACTTTTATGATACTATGCTTTCATGTTCACCAAAGGAAAAGTTTTGCTTCAATTCCAAATATGTAAATGTACTCCTGTATAAATAGGGTTGTTATTTTTTTAATAATGATTAATAAATTGAATTCCTTTCCCTTGTATGGAGAGAGGGGACTTGATACACAGGCAACATCTGACTCTCCTCAATTTTCCACACAGGATGGGACACTCCAGCTTAACTGTATTAAATTGAATTGTATTTAAGATTAAGAGCACTGAAAATATTTTTTTGCTTACAACCACAATATTTCATACTACTTAGCCCAACACAGATTTTCGATACTGACTGTTGATTCATATATGCTACAAACCTTTTTTTTTCTACTGATGCTATTTGGGTTTGTAAATTGTCATATTATTATATGGTTAAAGTGTTATTTATGCACTGTCAAATCCTGATAATTTTTATCCTATTAATTCTGATGTATTAAAATAACATGTTTTTTCCCCTGGTGAGACTATAATGCTTTTGTTAGTGTTTGAGGTCTAATAAAACTAAACTTTGGATTATTGTCTGTTAGGCTAGGCATAATTAGAATTTATTTCATTGTGGTCACATATGTAAGGCTAGTTTAAAATTATTTCATTTTTTTATCAAATTCCAAATGCAAAATGTGATAAATTCTCATTTTGCAGTTTAGGTTTATGAACTATGATACTTAAAGCTTATAATATATTTTCATAACCTTTTTGCACTGTGCAGCCTATCGAAAGCTTGTTACCTGTTTCTCCAGCTCTCTTGAGCAAAGAGGGTAGCTGGCTTAGAAACACTGTTTTATACATCAGCATTCTGAGGTGACTTGTTATTTGTATCTTTTTGAAAATGATGAAGTTGGTTTATAAGGATTGACATTTTGTATTAACTACTTGGGTTGTATTTCTTGTACAATTTTTTTCACATGGGTAATGGTCAAAAATGCATTGAATAATGGTCTGAGTATATTGTTCATAGTTGAGGATAATTTTGTACAGTCAATATAATAATTAAAATTAATTTATTAGATTTGTACACGTTTTAAATCATGAAAGAACAACTAGGAAAAATTATTTTTAGTTTTATTACCATTAATTTTATGTGCAAGTTGTTATGATTGTATATCTTGTATTGTTTTATAGTAAGGAATCAAAAATATATATAATTTTTACAAGCCAATAAGATCATTAAATTATTGACATCTTGAGGTTCAAATAGCCTGTTTAAAATGTTTCACTTTAAAACCTGGCAATCGTAGAGTGATATGCAGCAACTAAGATATTTTTTTAAAGTAGTGGAAAAGGTAATTATCCTTTTGAAAACAGACTTATTTCAAGTTACATATCTGAAATTTATCAAAGTTAAAAGAAACTCTATGAAGCATTCCACATTACATAAGATTTTTCTTGTAATGCTTGTTATATTAATAATTCATGATTTGTGATATTGAACTATGATTATCTATGTCAAATACTATTTACTTGCTAATAAATCCTTTTATCCTGGTTTGTTTAACTGACTTGTTTTAATCAATATTTCATCACACATTCCTCTGAGTCTTATCCACACAAATCAGTAGGCCTGGCTCTTTCAATGTGTGTAATCAGAAAATTTCTTTGTTGTATTTTGAAAGCTGTTTTCATTACTGTCTGCTGACGTTTTTGTTTGTTTTGTCAGTTGCTTCGACTCTGGTTGGAGAGCCACTTCCCTTCTAGTCATGCAAAAACAGAAAGGTAACTATTTAGTGTGGCATTTTTTTTTACATCACTCCTTACTACTATTATATAATATACTTTCTTGCTTTTTGTTTATTGATAGTCAGTGCTAATTGGTTAGTGCAGCAACATACAATTGAATGCATTTATATTGTAACACAGTTGGATCTGTCAACTGTTGTTCTAATTGTACTACTGACAGAGCTAATAAATATTTTTAAAATTTTATGACACCTAAACATATCTAAATTGCATTGAGTATAAATATATATATATATTGTTGCAAGGTTGTCATAACCAGGGTTGTTAGTTTGGGATAAGCTCTCAGGATCTATAAAATATCTTAAATGGCATGCGTCTCAAGCAGCCTCTAACAATTAAGCACCTGGCCTGCTCATGTGGCTTCATGTGAAAGGCACAATTGGTCTTGTCAGTCCAGTAAGGCAATTCATTGTGGTAAAACAGCCTCAGGGGTAAGCATCAAGGAATATTCAGAAGTGGAACCCCTCAGGCAAGTAAACCACAATCTCTTAATTTGATGCGCCATGGAGAAGAAACTCTGGTGCTGCTCTAAACAACATGAGCTAAAACAACATGAGAGATAATGTCTTCACCAAGACAGCTTGAAGTAAGCCCAATCCCAAAAGACAATCTATATAGAAATCTTACCTAAGGTACAATACCTAAGAGAGGATTGCTGCTAAATTACAGATGTGTCTACCAACGAGACCTGAGGCAAGCTGACATAGATGAAAATGTGGGAGCAGCTGGCCCGAGAAAGAACATTGAGGAGACAGACCAAGGAGTCTGTAGGAAGAAAACGCTGATGTCTGATGTAGCCTCCGAGAGGAGGCAAAATAAAATATCTGCCATAATTGTACCAACAACAATCTAAAATAACTGTGACAGAGATTGCCACTCTAGAATTGCCATGATCAGCCACAACAGGGTCCTGACCTTTCGAAATGGGAGGGAGCACTTTTTCGCCAATTTTAACAATACATAAACGGGGGGGGGGGTCGTCCGAATTACTGCCCCCCCCCCCCCCCCTGGGAGAGATGTGTCAAAGAAACTATGAATATTATTGTATACATTTGTTATAGTTGTTGTGTTTAGTACAGTGGCGTAGGCAGGGGGGTCATAACCCCCCATAGACCCCTCTGTATATATATAAAGTATGAGGGGGGGGGGTGGAAATCGAAAGTTTGAGGGGGGGGTGCTATTCGAAAGTTTTACCCCGGGTAAAAATTTGAACACCCCCCCCCCCCTTCCCTTGAGACGATCCTGGCTACGCCACTGGTTTAATACCTTAATGCCGAATTCTAGATGTGAAAAGAGTAGGCTTCGGTTAATGATTGGATTTCATACTGTAATTATAGAGACTGACTTTTTTTTCATATTTCGAATCAGTTTCTTCCAGGCAGCTCTGACAAAAAAAGGCTACCGCCTCCCCCCCCCCCACGAACGAAATAGAATGTATATAGAAAATATATACTTTTACCAGTGTCCGCCCTACCCCCCGAAAATATCAAGTGCCCCCCTTTCCCCTCCCCTTCCCGGAGTAGAAAGTCTGGAAGAAACACTGTTTTGAATTCCACATCATCATCACTCCTTTGTGGCCCCTGGGGAGCAAAGGGCTGCAACCACACATCTCCAGCGGACTCTGTTTTGGGCTGCTCCTCTAATCTGTGCCCATGAGAGCCCAGCTGTTTTCGCCTCTTCCTCAACCGTTCTCTTCCATGTTTTCCTTGGCCGGCCCACCCTCCTTTTCCCCTGGGGATTCCAGTCCAATGCATGTTTTGCGATGTTTTCTTTTTCTTTTCTTAACGTGTGTCCGATCCATCCCCATTAACGGGCCTTGATATCTTTCTCTATTGGCTGTTGCTTTAAAATTTGCCACAGGTCTTTGTTTGATATTTTGTCTGGCCATCTTATTTTGAGTATATGGTATATGTCGTAGGCATTTGTTTACGAACGCCTGTAGCCTATCAGTACTGTTTTGAATTGCGCCCCTTATATCAATCGAATTTACACCCCTACCCCTATATAAGTGGACCAGGAGAAATCAGTTCTAAGCTAGATTCTATAATGTAGGCCTACTCTGCATATTGCTTTTAAAAAATAAACTCAATTAACGTTTGTTAAAACCTGGGGAAAGGGGGAAGGGAAGGTTTTAATGACCTTGACAAAAGGTAAGTGCGCATAGTGATATCCCACAATGCAGAGACGTAAGAACTCTTGTTTAGAAAGAAATATATATACACCGTTTATTTCGAAACAATAACGGAAATCTGATCAAGTTCAATGTCACTGTACACAACACAGTATTTTTGTAGTACTGTTGAGATATCCCAGCTTATCGTCTAAATTAATGTAGTCTAGAATCTAGACTAGAGTTGTCTATAAAAAGTTGCGAAATTTCTTTGACAAAGTCTATGGTATGGTTGTGAAGTTAAAATTAATAGATAATAATAGACTATCTAACTAGAATACTTGTAGCAATGGAAAACTGAGAAGTAGGCCTACTGCTGGACTTGACTAGACTAGTAGTTACTAGATCTAGTAGGGCCTACTTGACTTGATAACTCAATTTTTAGCGTATTTTATTCGCCGCTTCATATTCACCTCCGGTTGAGCGTACGGCGTATTTTATTATCAACACAACCAAAACACACAAACACGTTAGAAAAACACTCTAGATCTAGGATTAGACTAGAGCTAGATCTAGATGTGTTAGATAATACTAGAACTAGACTAGATATCTTCTACTTTATTTTCGATGAATGTGTTTTAATTAGAAAAGGTAAAAAAAAGCATTAGGACAGTTCGAATTGAATAGCATGAAAAAAATCCCGGTAATCTATCGCTTTAGCGTAATCAATTCGGCCGTCACTAGTAATGTAGGGATAAGGTAACTATCAAATATGGCTTAGATGTGAATATATTTTTGCATATTTTACTAAAATACTAAAGATAATTGAATATTAAACCACATTTAAGGTTTAAATCAATCAAAATGTCATGAAATTAAGGTTTAACATCGATGTTCCAGATACTAAATTTGCTATTAAAAACAGCGGCCATCTTAAGAAAATATTATTTTGAGTCATTTCCCTTTAATTTCTATTTGTATGGAAATGTATTGATGTTTGCTATTAAATACGTTAGTCTTGTGTTTAAATACAAAGCATGCGTTTTTTTTTTAAATTCTGCCCTTTAAACAATTTAATTGACTGACAATAAACATCAGTTCTAGAATTATTATTATGAGATGCAATTTTTACACATTAAGATACTCCCTATTTTTATAGAGCTACCACTACATATCTAATGATGTTTATTTAAATATTAGTTTGAGTTAATTCTTATTGTTTGTGTTATTGTTTGTTTGCTATTTTCATGTAATATTTTCATGCTTTTTTCCTTTAATTAGTGATTTAATCATAAATGACGTCCCGTTTTTTGACCTTTCTTCACCTTAACCCCCCCCCCCCCCCCCTCATTTTCGCCGTTACGAAATAGTCGTAATGTCGAAAATTACCTTTTTGCCCTGCCTGTTAAAAAGTCAAGCCATAATTCTAATGAAAACGATATATTCAGCATTTTTGTATTTGGCGAAATACATAACGTTTCACGTTTCTTACCCCTCCCATTTCCCGCGTAAAACGTCGTCTCAAAACCAGTTACTCCACCCCTTAAGTGTGCGATGTCATTTATGGTAGATGTCAAGTCCTATATACATTTTGAATAACCTTTGTTGTCAAAATGTTGATACCAAATACCCAAAATGAGTTATATGGTGTTATCCATAAACGATGTCACATATGCTATGCTAATGTGCCGTCAACTTACGCAGGGTGGGGGGGGGGATGCGTGACGTCTATTTTGGAATCTTCTTTAAAGCTGTGCTCAATGAAATTGAGGAACATAAAGCGTTCGTTTTCATGCATACATTTGTTCATAACGAATGATCATAACTATTGCATGCCTGTTGTCCTAAGCGGTGTTTAACAACCTGAGCACATCATCCCCGCCAAAAAGGGCCTGCCACTAAATGCCTACCGACGAAAATAAGCCGCACTATATTGGCTCCAAATGAAATAACTTCTGACAATAAGGCTCAAACCAAGTAGCTCCTGTCAACAATATTCGACAAGAGTACAAGACACCATTAAGTGCCGCACCAGGTGACACTCGACCTCGCTACGCCACTGAGCTAATGTAAAGCCACAGCTCAGTATTGGCTTAAATTTAACATAAAATAGTGTTAGCAGTGGACAGCCTCTAAGACTGTGCATTAGGAGTACGGCCGTCGGCAAAACGCCAGAGTCCGACGATATCTGAACATCAATTTTGTCTTTTATGAAGTGCGGAGCACCTTTAGCTTAAGACCTGAGCTTGGCCCCTGTTGACACCACCACTAGCGCCGCTTATGTCCACATATTAATCAGACGTTTTGCGTGGACAGACGTTTATAGGTGGGACCGGGAGCCTAAATGCATTTACCGAAGCCGCTGTGTCACGGGCATTTTAGAGCCGAACATCTCAGGGCAGCATGTTGCAGAAATTAAAAGCACGTGAATTTGTATAGTAGAGGGAGAACATCATGCCACTGTAATAAATTAAACACCAATATAATTCACCGAACTAAAGTCATTTAGATCTATTCGTCAGGCTAAATGTCGCTAGTCTCATCGTCATAGTCATTTAGTGCCTGTTTTGATTTTTTTTTAATTACGCGGTATCTCTTTCTTAAACATTAGCCTAACGACAAATGACGTCACACGCGCCGCGAACTTTGTGACGTTGTGCTTATTGGGGGTTGAAACGGCGTGGTTTAGAAAAATGACGTATTTCTTTTTTTTTAAGTGATAGATTCTAATTTTCCTACGAACTATAGGTTCATCTAGTTTTTTTTCTAGAGGGAGATATCACTATATTGTGATGGGGGGGGGGGGGGGATTTATATATAATCTCAATATATTCTGATCTACTACTATTCATACGGCAACCATTATACTCGTGAGGAGGACGGGAATCACTCTTATGTTCCGCAGACACTAATTAACAATGTCAACAACTTCGTTTATGAAATAACATGAACTTTATTAACACACACTTATAGATCATTTGTACAATATCAAAAAATACGTCCGTCTTCTACTATATCTAACTCCCAACTAACTTCACTGCTGCGTCTTACGTCATCGGTACATTGTCGCACCATGCTCACGTCACACTCACGCCACACAAATTTTATTGAACACGCGCACAATACTCTCGCACCAAATCGTCTACTGTCAAGTTCGTACCGTCCTATGGTAACCTCTACTCGTCTAGTCTAATTCTATATATCTACGCTATGACATATATAGTGGGTGGTTTTTTGTTGTTGTAATAATGTGTGGTGGGGAGGGGTAAACATTGACTACTAAAGAAATAAAAAAACTGATGATAGCAGAAGGAAAAAAAAAACAAAAAAAAAAAAAAAAAACCATGTGGTATTCAAATGTAACTAATTAAAATTTGAACCTATTTTAAAAAACACAATAATCTTAATTCAGAAAAGGTGTAGGCCTAAGACTAATGTCTACAGACAAAAAAAACAACTAGGCTTAATTAAATGGATCGCCCATAAATGACGTCATACTTTTCCCGACGATTTCCCTCTCACCCAATAGTTACTAAAAGCAAGATGATGATTTAATATCATATCGCAGTTCTACTATACCCGAACCCTTAATCACAATTTCTAACGAACACGAATATATTCTTCATCATTTTTGAAAAAATATTTTACACCGTCCCATATTTTGAGTCCAACGTCATTTATGAAGAATATGGACGACCTAATAATTGACAAGTTAATCAGTACAAAATGGTTTAATAAATGTTGGACCTCCCAAAAGTCTTTGAGATCTTGGATGTACATACATACATAGCCTTAATTTCAATTGAAATTAAAGATAAGAAGACGGCCCTCTGTCCCACTTTTATTAAACAAGACAGCTATGTATATTCAACAACAAAATCAACACAATATACATACGAATAGACATGTGTATCAAGGGAAACTACTCTAAATTTTATTTGGAAAGATGGCCGCTGTTTTTATCTGCTAATATTTATCTCAAACACCTTGTTTAAAGTTAGTTTCATGATATTTTAAATTGTTTTGGTCAGTGATTGTTATATTAAATCAATTATCTGTTATGTTTTGTAACATTTGACTTAAATTATACTTATTTAAACAAATATATTCATCAGTTACCTCTCCCGCACATTTCTACTGCAGCCGAATTGATTACGCTAAAACGATAGATTACCAAAATCCCTACACTGTCGAGGGTTCACGTTTACTTTAATTATCAGCATACGTCACGAACATACAATGTACATACAGACATACATCATAGCACATTCAATATTCCAAAGTAAATCAAAGTTGGATTTTTCTAAAGTTTTGACAACAGTAAATTATCAAAAACAAAAACGAAAATTGATAAAGAAATAAGCCCAATGTTTTCTTAACGTGTGTTTCGGTTGTGTTTATAATAAAATACGCTCAATTGGTGGTGAACGTGAAGCGGGGAATAAAATACGCTAAAATGGAGTTTTACCGACTTGTTGTACTGTATTAAAAACAAAAAATTAAATTTCAAGTGTAGCCTACTTATTTGATTTTTTTCTGTACTATTCAGTCCTTGATCTTATTCTTGCAATGTTTATCTATCTTCTTTCCTAGTTTGTTTAGTTAATAGATTAGTGATTAGACATTACTAGTCTTGGTCGATTTTACGTGCCTACAAAAACTAAAAATGATAGATTACCCAAAAATAAAAATGAAAAATTAGTAGTAGGCCTATCCTATAGTTTAGAGTTTCTTTCTACTTTCTTTATTCTTTCTTTAGATTTTTTTAGACATAAGAAAACTTAGTTAGTTAGGTCTAAAATTATTGATTGTGTTACTATCAAATAATGTTGATATTGTATATTTCATATTGTCTCATATTTTGCAGATCCAATAATTTTTATATAAAATCATTATGTAAATCATAAACAAATTAAAATAGATCATCCTAAGATATTTAAAGTGATGCAAATATGAGGAGCAGAAGTAACTCGGGTATTCGCCTTGACTACTACCAGAGATTGGTAAACAGATGCATATTGAGATATCAGGTATTTTTACAGCATAACTCATATGTTAAGCTACTTTTTATGGTCTCTTAACTAAAGTGGTAGTAGAAGTAGCTCTGTTTACAATTAAAAATTCTTTTTGAAAATCTACTCATAATTATAAAAAGATTAAAGTGAATTGTGTTTTTTTATTGTGTATTTACACGTAAACATTTTGTTTTGTGACAGAATGTAAGTACAGGACTGATAGTATCTGTAGATGTTGATAATTATACCCGTTATTGGGCACCGAAACTCCGCCTGAGTAAGATTGCTATACCTGAAAATGAAGAATTGAAATCGTCACCCAATCCACCTTTTATACCAGTTAATTATTTTCGAGATAAAATGGTTAAAAAATCTGCAACTAATTTGGAACATAGTAGAGCATCTACTTCTACACATACAGTTGCTGAAAAAATATCTGAAATGGAAGAGGTTATTTATAATTTTGAAACATTCTGGTTGTATTATTTTATGAGCGTCCTAGTGGTTCCTAGCTCTTTTCACCTTTGTATATATTGGTTGTGCAGTAAACAAAATAGTGTCCCTTTATTATGGGTGAATAAGTCAGTTAGGAATCCACTGCTCTTTTCATGTATTCGTTTTTTCTACTTGACTTAATATTGGATTTTTGTTGGATTTCTGCTTATTTCATTCAAAACAGTTAACATTTTTAATGCTAATTAACTTCCTAATACTGAATGGGTAGTGAATGTCTATACACTTATTAGTAAAATCATTAAAATGTCAATATCATTTTAGTATAATTAAAATATGATTTTAAACCATCACTAATAGCAAAAACAGCTTCCTTTACAACTGTTTCACTATTCTGCCTGTAAGTCCACATGTCTTACTTTTTGGAGAGGTGCAGTGGTTAAAGTTAACTTCATTTCTTGTTGCTCACTGCCTTTCTTCTTCTTCGTTCTTAATTGGAATGTTGGACATGATTTCCTTCAACACAATAAAGTATTACTTGTCAACTTCAACTTGCAATACGGCATATAGACAGTTGACTCCGATTCCAGCCGGCTTTTCTTTTTGGATTTTTTTCTATAGCCTTTTTTCATCTAAGAACAAACTACGCAACAGATGGGTTGCTGTCTTCCGCTATTGAGCCTCATCTGCCCATGCGTTGAAACTCTGGAATTTTCGGCTTAACAATTATGAGCTTTACTGACCTGACCAAGCCAAACCCCTTTCACTATCTTTGAAACCCTACAAAAATTTAGAATCTTTATCATGGCTAACGCAAAAAAATTTGGAATGATCAAAAACTGCATCAAGCAATCTTCCTCAGAAACATATAAAGGCTAAAAATGTTAGGGAATTATATGAGTTTCAGATTTATAATTACACTTAGGTTTGCTTCAGTTTTGATATTTCCAAGGCTTGGTTCTGGTTATTGTATAGGATAATTATTGGATTAAATTTAAGTTTTGACAGTTATTGATTTACATCTAAGTTAAGATCAACCATAGTTTGAGGCTTGATTTCAAGTTGCTGTTTTGTGTGTTAAATTTGAGTTTTATTTTAGCTTTCTTATTTTACATTCATGTTAGATTCATTAAGTTGTTTAGAATTAAATGTATGTGTATGATGATCATTAGATTCAGATTAATACTGAACTCAGTGGATTAAATTTAAAAAAAAACAAAACATTTTTAAATTAATGTTAATTCTTATGTAACAGCAATTTTAATGTAAATATTGTTTATTGATGCGGATAAGGATATTACCCTTGACTTCTAAAGGAGATCAAAAACTAAACACAGTATGATTTTAAACACTATATAAATGATAAAAGATAACCTCTAAACAAGTTTAATTACCACTTAATAGAAAAACAAATACAAAACATTAACAGCCAATTACCCATTGTAATTTTCTTCATTATGCAAAAGCAACTAGTTTTATAATATTAAGCGCTAATTTTCATACATTGTCTTAGAATCCTGCTACAGGCTTAATAGCTGGAAATGATAAAAATCATTCATGGGTTAGAGACAACATCTACTGCATTATGGCAGTGTGGGGCCTTGCTTTGGCATATCGAAAGACAGTTGATCTTGATGAAGATAGAGCAAAAGCATATGAACTAGAAAAGGTAATTACACTGTTATTAAAGTTATTTGATTAATTCAGTCATAATTAGGAATGTATTATTATAGTAAACAAAGACATTTTCTACCACTTATTCTTTTTCTTTTTTTTTATATTAGTAATTATAACATATGACCAGAAGAAAAAACTTTAAATTTACCCTTAGATAAATTATTTGTGGGCTTGTATATTATTCTACCAAAATTTCTTTTGACAGCATGATAAAAATGTGTATTCTCAGTTGAAATAATGATTATTTTTTTTATAAGTAAGAAAAGTCTAAAATTTTCATTGACAAAAAATAAAGATGTATATTTTTAATGTTAAGTGGGGATAATTTTAAAAAAACTGAGCTAGCAACATATTTTTATTACTCCTCCATAATTGCAGTAATGAATACTTTGAAAATACTTTGACTGTTTTAGGCAGTTGTTCAAGCCATGAGAGGGTTATTAAGGGCAATGCTGATGCAGAGTGAGAAGGTTGAGCAGTTCAAACGCACACAGAGCCCTCGTGATGCTCTGCATGCAAAATACAGCAGTGTTACTGGAAAGACAGTTGTAGGAGATTATGAATGGGGGCATCTTCAGATTGATGCAACATCCCTTTTTTTATTAGCTCTGGCTCAAATGACAGCTTCAGGTAATGTTCAATTTATAAAATCATAGTATAGGATATCATTTATTCAAAATTAGAAAGTATCTCAAAATAAGTTTTTTTAAAAATATAAATAGTATGAAAATATTTAATACTGTAGGTGTTGTTATTGTGTTCACCTTGGATGAAGTTGCCTTTGTACAGAATCTTGTTTTTTATATTGAGGCTGCCTACAGAACACCAGTAAGTCATTTGTGTTGGTACTTTTATATCATAACTCTACATTTATTATTGATAAGTTAGCCTTTCAAGTCTTTAATTTTTTTTCTATTTTATACATATTTCTGTTTTAGGACTATGGTATTTGGGAGCGTGGTGATAAAACAAATCATGGTCTACCAGAACTCAATGCTAGCTCAATAGGCATGGCTAAAGTAAGATAATGATAGCAGTCAAGTTGTTTTGTGTTAAAGCAATTACTCAAAGTTTGACCTATGTGATATTTGTATGTGTGGTGAACTTAAAATCAAATAAGAGGTCAGTCATATTCTTTATGTTGTGTCTCTTAGGCAGCCTTAGAAGCCATCAATGAACTAGATTTGTTTGGGTCAAGAGGTGGTCCAGCATCTGTCATTCATGTTCTCCCAGATGAGGCTCAGCAATGTCAAGCTATTCTCCAGTCAATGCTTCCAAGAGAATCTATTTCAAAAGTATGCACGATTGTTTCATTTTATCAAATGTTGAACTTTTTATTTTTCTGTAATTTTGTATGTTCATTCATTGTTTGTTTGTTTTTTTTAAAAAGGAAACAGATGCTGCTCTTTTAACTGTCATCAGCTTCCCAGCCTTTGCTGTTGATGATCCAGAATTAATTGAACTTACACATAAAACAATCAAAGAGAAACTAGAGGTAACTTGAATGCTTGATTATTTCAAATACATGTGAGGTTTTTTTTAATTGAGTCTTTATGTCACCCAGAATATAATTTAATTTTGACTTTTTATTGCAGGGTCGCTATGGGTGCTGCCGATTTCTCCGTGATGGGTATAAAACTGCCAAAGAGGTAATACTATTCATCTTGGTTTAAACATGGAAAAATCAGTTTAAGCATCAGCTTGCATATACAGATATTTTACTTTAAATTTTACTGTTTTAAGGATGCAAGAAGACTGCACTATGAACCCTGGGAATTGATGGTTTTTGAAAAAATTGAATGTCAGTGGCCACTTTTCTTTGCCTATCTTATACTAGATGGATTGTTCAATAACAAACCAGATCAGGTTTGTAGTTATTTTTCTATTTATATGTATGTATGTATATATATGTATGTATGTATATATATGTATGTATATATATATATGTATGTATATATATATATGTATATATATATATATATATATATATATATATATATATATATATATATATATATATATATATATATATATATATATATATATATATATACAAGTTAGTTCCTTATAATATTGTAATTTTTTATATATATATACACAAGTTAGTTCCTTATAATATTGTAATTTTTTTATTTTATCAAGAGTAATAATCTTGAAATGTTTATTATTTACAGGTGAATGAATACAAAAAAAAGTTGGATGAAGTTTTGTTAAAAACAGAGGATGGTATTCCAATTGTACCAGAGTTGTATGCTGTTCCTAAAGACCTGGTATGGACTATTTCTTTTATAGTATTTTGATATTATCTTGAAAAATTGGATTCATAAATTCAACAATTTACTTTTTACCAATAGGTGGACAAGGAATATGAAGAGCCAAACAGTCAGAAACGTGTGGCTGCTGGTAAAATTCCTCACATGTGGGGACAGTCTATGTACATCCTGGGAAGACTTATGATTGAGGTTTTTATTTTTATTTATTTCATAGTGAAAATTTAATCTAAATTTTTAAGTTTTTCAAATTTAATTAGATATAAAAAAAACAAATAAAATACATTTCATTAAAGAAGTTTGGTTAAAACACCAACCTTAACACATAGCTTCAGTTGGAAATAATTATATTTAACACAAATGAGACACATTATTGTTTAGTATTTTCTTACTGAATAAATTTGGACATTCTTTTTGTCAGGGGTTTTTGTCTCCTGGAGAACTTGATCCTTTAAACAGAAGACATGTTACAGAAACTAAACCTGATGTTGTTGTACAAGGTATGTATTAAAATGATTTCAGTGTGCTTCTAAAACTAAAATAATATTGCTTTGTTTATTTTAAATATCACGATGCTAATTTTAATAAAATGTCTTAAACCTACAAGCTTTTTTACTTTCTCGTATATACGAAGTATAGAGAAAGTCTTGTAATCGTGCAAAAAAAACAAAAAATGAGATTTTTACAAATCTCGACGTTTTACACCTCACTGATACGGAAAAACATAATTTTGCAATCTTGTCCGTATGTCTGTGTGTCTCTCTGTGTGTCTGTCTGTGTGTCTGTCTGTGTGTCTGTCTGTCTGTCCGTGTGTAAACACGATAACTTGAGTACCGTTACTGCTAGGTTGATGAAATTTCATATATAAGTATTTTATCAAAATCGTAGATCCGTATCAACTTTTGAGCGATTTCCGATAACCGGAAGTGGTACTTTTCCTACTTTGAATTTTTCAAAAGCCTATAACTTGAGTACTATTTCAGATAGATAAACGAAATTTCACATGTAAGTAAAAGATCTAATTCTCTACCTTCTGTTAAATTTTGAGTAATTTCCGTTGACCGGAAGTAGTAATTTACGCTACTTCCGATTTCTCAAAAAACTAATGTAAATTTTAAAAGTACTAATAATATTGCGCACTATTATGCGCTTTTTTATTTGGCGTTCACTTGGTGTGCAATTAATTTGTCTACGAGATTTTATTCTATTTTTAAAACTTTAAGTATTTAAAATGGATTAAAAATCATGTCTATAGCCCGAGTTCCCATCCCCTGTTATTTTATATAAGAATATTCGAGAAAGTTTAGGGGAGATCACTCCAGGTTTATTTTAATAATGATTTCTTTTGGTTACAAAAAAAACAATTTTTATAACTAGTAAATTGAAGCCTTAAAATGTAAATTAATTTTTTTAGTTAACTGAATTGTTTTTATCCAGCCTTTAAAGGTACTAGGCGATATTATGACACCAAGTTATACCAAACTTAAACATGTTATGTGTTATTTGTTCATAACGTAGATTAATTATACAAGTTTATTAGAATTAATACAAGTTGTTTATGTTTCTTTAGTTGTGTTGCTTGCTGAAGATAGCCTAATTCAAGACAAAATGGCTTTACATGGCATTGAACTCCAGACTGTAGCAGAAGTGGCTCCTATTCAAATCCACCCTGCCAGAGTTTTGTCAAAGATTTACTCTTTGTTGGGTTTGTATTTTCATTTTATGTAAGAACTTTTTATGAATAGTTCATTATTTTTATAAAGACTTGTAACAAGTTACTAAAGCTATCACTAAATAAAACATAAACCCTACCAGACCCGAAGCCTTGAATTTAGCTGTCCTCTTCATCTGGGCTCCTAAAAATTGAAGGAAAAAAACTGTTCACCTATGATGGGTTGTTGTTTTTTGTTGTTTTTTTTTCAGTTTCAAAATTACCAAAAATTATGTACAACTGTTTGGTAGGGTTAAGTGTTAATTATTTTTATTTTTTTGCCTCTTAGGTAAAAACAAAAGAATGGGCTTGACTGGTAGGGCTTCATCTAGCGAAATAGGACTGCTTGCAACGAGCAAGCTATATATGTTACACGACAAAATTCTAGCCTTTGTTCCACAGGTATGTTTATTCTTTATTACAAAAACATTAGTGAACTCAATTTCTTGTAAAACATTTGTAGTTTAGATTTTTTAAAATTCATTGCATTCAACTATAGCCTGTCATAATTGCTAATAATTATTCTTTTGTTTTAAAATACTTTATTTTTTTGGGAAAAATATTTTATTTATAAACCAAAAATTTGTTTTCAGACTTGTTTGCTGCATTTTAGTTTTCTCATAGCCTTAATTCTATTTCCTCATATGTTATTTTTATTTGCATGATTTCAATCCAAGTATTACAGCCAAAGATTCAAATAACAACAACAATAAATGGGTGATTTTTGTTTTATTCACACAAAGATTTATTGACTAATGCCTTTCTATGGGTATCAGAGTTGTTACCAAATAACAATTCAGTTGGAAATAAATTGCTCCTTGTTTTCATCCTTTGATATTTCAAACCTATTTCTTCTCAACTCTCAAAAAATTATTTTTATTTTAGTTAACTTTTCCTTTTTGTAACAATACAATGCACCATTTATAAACCCAAACCAAAACCTGGTATATTTAAAAACTCAAAATCATAATAAAAATGAATCATAAACCAAAAAAACAATATTAAGAAAATAAGATAACCAAATCTAATGAACCAAATACCATATCATTTTTAAGGTTATGGTTATTTATTACTATAAGACATTACTATAATTTAGTTGTATATATTAAAATTTGATTATAATAGAGACATTTTGTGATTTGTTTTTAATAAAAACATATTTTATGTTGATTTTATATATCTCTAAGCCTCTGTTTGCCCAGCTTTCTAAATTTCAAATTTTGACTTGTGGTGAAACTTTAATTACTCTTAATCAATGTATTTTGTTTTTTAAATTTATTAAAACCAACAATATGTATATGTTAGTTTCAAACACTATTCAAACTTATTTATATTAGCTGATTATAGTTCATATTTATTTTTGAATAAACGTAATAGCAGATAAATGAAACATACAAATCTTAGCACAATGACCGCATGCCATTTTTTTAGAAGTAGTAGTAGCATGTGTATGGTTTACTAAGCTCATATTTTTAATGGAACTTTGTTATTATTTTTTTTGTGGCGAAAGACAACTAAATTGGCATATAAGACATTGTTGGCTGAAAGATATGTATATGTCCTACAGTAATTGCTTCAGTAACAGAATCTTTTTTTGTTTGATTAACATTTTTTTTGCCTTTTGCAGAAGACTTCTTTATGCGGCCCAAGTTTTTTTTTCTTCCATTGATTAAAAAGAAAATTACTTTGTATATTATTTAAACACCATAAACAATGATTCTGGCTTCTAGTCTTGATTTTCTTTTTACAGTTTTTGGCTTCACCCAATATTTCAGAAAGATTAATAAATACCCTCTGTAAAAAATGTATTTAGGAATATTATTTTTTTAAACAGGATGTAAATTTAAAATGTTCTACCTAACAACTTTTGAGATAAATGTTTATATTTGAGAAATCCCCATTGTTGGGAAGTAATCAACAGAAATATCATAACTCCAAACTATTTGTACAAGACATTTTGTTTTTAAATTTCTCTAATTTACCCTTTTGTTTAACAATACACTAAACATTAGATTATTAATAATCTTATCATTATGGGTCTTAACATTTTTTTTCATTTTATAATTTTATACACAAGATCATATTTTACTAGACTGCTAAAACATAACAAAGCTTCAAGTTATTAGTTATTAAAAGATCATACACTTCTTAAAGTCTATAAATAGTTGAGTTGAAAATCTTACTTTTGTTTGCTTTTTAAGAAAAATATTTTTTAAATGTGAACATACATCTGCACTTATTTTTATTTTTTTTATTTTTTTATTTCATTGGTAGTTTTTATCTACTCACAAGTATTATTTGAGTTCAATATTAATAATATTGGTTACTGTATAGCAGTTTCTGTAGTAAAATTTGCCCACTTTCTCTTAGTTGGTGGACCAGCATCAATTTTACCTAGGCCTGGATGTGGAATATCTTGTGGATGACTTCAAAACAAAGATAGACTTGCTAAGCAAGAGCTGGAAAGCCTTGGGCCGTCCACTTATGGTGTATAACCTTACACGAAATGCTCTAGGTTGGATTCATCACTTTGCTTCTTCTTCTTGTTGTAATCTTTACATTTCAAGTTTGCTAATAGATTTGTTTAGTTTTCTTGTGTGTTTTTTTAAGTCTGAAGTCGGATAAGCTTCATGTACTCTATATTTTGTAACACTCAGAACATCTGTATCTATTATAAATATAAAATGTTTATATTTTTTAAAGAAAGTAATAATGCATTAACCAAAATCATAGAAGTAGTTTGTTGTTTGCTTGTATCACTAATGCTTTGGTTTTCTTTATATACCTCCCACAATTGAATGTGCTTTGCATGCAACTATGCGTAATGCTTTGTATGGGTCAGAGGGTATCAAAGGGATGATAACAAATTTTGAAAATCGGTCCTAATATATTTTAACACTTTCATTACACTCAACAAGTAAAAAAATTTTTACTTGTTTTTTATGCTTGCATCAGTAAATTTTTTATTATAAACTATTGCATTTGTGACCATTCATGAGAATAAGTTAATGAGACGTGATCAATTAGGAGTAGTCTTTCTGTGCATTCATCCTTAGGTGTGTTGTAAGTTATAGAGTCTGAATAAAACATAACTGATTGAAGACAAGAATAGTCTTCGCTGTAAATAGTAGTAAAAATTAATGATGGTAGTTGGATGCTTGTATGTTTATTAAAAAGCCCATCTAATCTAATGCTGCCCATTAGAAATTAAAAATATCTCACATGAAAACAAGGAGCTTTTACTAGTCATATTACAACCTGTACATTATGTCGTTAAGTTTATTGTTTCAGGTTATTGCTAACTATTTTACAGGTGTTGCCCAGATGAATTCTCCACAGTTATAAAACTAGTTACTGAATTTGATTCTTTGGGATGCTTTTATTCTTCTTTCAGATTTTAAAATCAAACTGTTTTTATTCCTTCTTTCTATATTTTCTACATATAGGGCATACTTGAGAGCTGCATTGATGGTAGAAGTAGAAGCCAATTATCTATTTAAAATAATACTTTATTATAATTTAAACAATTACTATGTAGGAATTTATTTTTGAAAGTTGATTTTTAACGGAGAATACACTTTTAAGAATAAAAATATTTTGTACTTTGTAAACTTCTCTTAATTATTTAAACTGGATAGTAAGAACTTAGTACCTCATAAAATGAAGGAAATTTAATTTAATAGACATTTGATGAAATTATATTTTTACAAAAACAGATGGAGATACATCTTTCTCAAATTGTGTTATTTCTTTTTCTTCTAGTGGTCTCTTGGGATGGTACAACTTCTGTAGGGTGATTTCCTATGGTTTAAAATTTAATTTCCTCATAAGACTTGATGTAGTTGTTTCCACCCCACAGTTTTTGGACTTGCAGCGTTTCTACATGGTGCTGGACACAAACTTTTTAGTGGATTTCCTCCGAACGGAGGTGGCCTACCTGAAGAGAAGCTGGAAGGCCATAGGGCGTCCAGTTGTCACGCTCACAATATCACATGACTTGTTGGGTATGTGTTCAGCACAAGGATTGATGTGTTTTATAGCCAGTTTGTTTTTTCAGGTTTTGCCGATCTAAAAAGAGGCACAGGACATGGTTAATATATTTCAAACTAAAAACTTTAAATTGACATTAACTTAAAAGATGCTATTTTAATTGTTAGTCTGGTTATTTATACTAAACATTTGTTGTTTGGTCACATAATGCAAAAGTTTATACTAGGAACAGTTATTACTAAATTTATCACACTTAAAATGTTAAGGCAGTAATTAGAAACTTCCCCACCTTAGGATATTTTCTTTACTGGTACTTTGTTTCAGTGTATTATTTTTGTGTATATTGATTTCTAAATGTAAAAACTCCATTTTTACTTCACAAATATTTTCTTATTAACCTGTGGTAACTAAAGCTTGTTAAGTAAATGTTAAATGTTGTCACTTGTATTTTTGTTGAATTTAACATTTGACTTTTTGACTGATATTAATTTTCTTTTTTACTAAAGTGTGCTGTTTTCATTTTAAAAATAGTTAAGGCAGTTAAGTCTTAACGGCATATAAGATTATAAATTGTTTAAAAAGTTATTCATCATTTTTCAGAAAGTGTAAATTAAAATTTAAATGCTCTTTTTATACTTATAGTAAATACTGTATTTTGTATTTAGTAATTCTTACCAAGTCCTTCACACATTTTGTGATAATTCGCTTCACTTGTTTTTAAATCAGACAATTATCAGCATCCACCAAATGCTTTACTGGCAACCATCAAGAAATTACAGAGTGGCTATATCAGTGGCACTAGGTATGATGAAATATTAAAATGTCAATGTGTTTGTTAGTATTTAAACCTATTTTCACAACACAAATTTTTTTTTTTTTAAATGTCCACTTGATTTCATCCTTAAACCATTGACTTGTTACAGAGTCCACCTGGGCAAATTGTCAGACTTCCTGCATACCTCTTGTATCACCAAGCTGAGCTTTCTCAGAGACATTGATGACCAGAGTAAGTCAACGTTCTCCCCACTTACCAGAGCAACTTAGTTTTAGATAACTGATTGTTGGTTTATCATTTGAACAAGTTTTATACACTACATGTTTATATTTAGCATTTGGGTATTGAAAGTTATTATGTATGTAGTTTTAAATATGTAATAGTCTAAAATTTTGAATAAGAAATATTCTAGCTTAATAATTGTGAGCTGTTGGGATTTGTATATGAAAATCTCATGACATATCGGTTTCATTAACTTCTATAAAGGCAACAAAATACAATGCACAGTGCAGAGTTTATTGACAACAGATTGTACAAAACTGTTTCAACCCAAGTTCAGCTTAGAGTGATGTTGAAAGATGGTAGATAAAATGTGTACAATGTTTACTAAATGTATCCTTTCAGCATTTTGTTCTTAACTTTCTTCTGACAGCAGGCAAACATCACGACAAATCTGTGATTGATCAACTTATTACTCAGACATCATCTGCTAGACAAAGACTCTTGAGTGTTAACCGAGGCAAAAGCAAGCGAAAAGCTTCTTACCGTGCGAGCATTAGCGTTCAGGGCATTGTAAGGCGTTCTAGGTCCATTCAAATTGAACCTGAAGATATTACAGGTATGAAATAATTTCACAGTTTATATTTATTTTAGAAAAACCAGTAATGTTAATTTGTACGCTTTAAAAAAATGTCTCATAATAAAAGAAGTGATAGTGATCTCCTTTTCTTGTACTAAGTTATCGATATCGTTCTTTTTCCTCTTTCTGACTGCAAAAAAAGTTTTTCATGTTCCAACACCAGGTGAATAGCTAGTTGTTGTTCTTTGTTTGATAGATGGATATATTCAATCTTTATTATTCTCTATAATAAGTTGTGTTCAGGACTTTTGATCTCACTGGGTTGTTAGATAAATACATTGTAGTTCTGAATTGCATCGCTTTCATAGATTTGCACTATTATTTAGCATGATTAACTGGATTAACAAAATACAAAGGCTATTAAATTGTCAGTTCACTTAATATGAATCACCTGACTTACCTCTAGCAAGGTGTTAACCTTTTAAAAAAATAAACAATTTGAAGTATTTAGACTCACAACTTAAGATCCTTCAACTTGCCTTAGTGCACATTCTCATACAGTTTGTTTGGACTAGTTCAGGTGTTTAAACATAAGGATAAAATGTTTTAATGAGTTAATGTTTTTTTCATCCGATAGTCTTTAGTGTTTTTATGGAGTAGATATTTTTGTCTTGCTTTTTAAAAACCATTTATTGAATGCAGTGTTCATTGGATTTTTTTTAATCGCTTAATTTATTTTTACTGACTTTTGTCATATTTAATCATTTTAATCAAGTCAAAATTGTAAATTGATTTTATTTTTTATAAAAAAATTAGATGGCAAATCTAATATTATTTTAAGATTTAGATAAAATGGAAATTAAAAAAAAATCAAGAGTGAGTTACTGTGTTCTCTTTAAACACATCTTCAGATATCAGGAACAAAAGTTTAAGATTTTACAATAGCAAGTTTAATGTTTATTTTTATAAAGGAAGCAAGGGTATTTTTTTAAATAGCCACGTTAATAACCTTATTTTAAAACTTGCAAATGTTGACATTACGTTTTAATTGCAAGAAAAGGGTGGTCTACTGGTGCATGTCAGAATTTATACTAGTTTAGCTTTTTTATACTAGTTTGAAGCTACCAATACTATACTACTGTTAGAAAATTAGCAAGTAACAAAGTTTGTATAAATATAAAGACATTTTCATCAATTTTACAAAGACTTGCACGCTGCGATGGGTCTTGGAGACCCTGATCGTATGCGGAAAATGTCAGGTATGTCTCGAGTGTGATGGCTTCTTAACTTTGCTTCCATGTTGGCTAACTTTTCACATCATTTTGTAGCTTTTGCACTCTGTTGTTTCATAAGCATCATATACACACCTTAATAGATGTTGAATTACTATCATGAAGTTTGTAATCAAGAGTTTTCATTATGTTTAACGTAGCTCTTTACCTAGAAATCCCTTTACCTAAACCTTTGTAAAATATATTCTAACGTAGTTTTTTAATTTAGAGGTGTGAAATCTATTTATCATATTTTGAATTTTTTTTATAATATATTTATACTTTCTCTGGTTATTTAAATATCTAGACTTGTGTTTAAAAGCTTGACAAAGCCAGGATATAATTATATAAATGATTATAATGGTTTATTCTTAAAAATAATGTGATGAATTTGATCGACCGTTGTCTGTTGTCAAAACATCTTTTACATTGCTATACCCTATTGCATCACAAAGTGAATGTCTGTAACTCACATATTAACCATGCATCAAACACTAATGCTCACATAATATTCTCTTTAATATTGTATGCATTTTTGTTGTCACTTACAGCTCTTTCAACTTCTTCCCTTTCATTTTCTATAGGTTTTTTTAATGTGTCTACATTATCTTACCTAGCCTAATGGATAACTTAATTACTTAAATGTTATTATGTTGTTTATTAACTATTGCTGTAAGCTTTAATTATTAAAAAAGAAAAACAGATCCAGTATCATATATCTTATTCTTTAAGACATTAAGACAAATTTAATACTTATTTTGTACTTCTTATGTGAATTGTTTTTTAGAAAAGTAGTAAAATTTAAAGGGGTTTTTGTTTGTGTAAATTGAATAGAGAAATGGAATCCTACATTACCTTCAAAATAGTTCTAACATCTTGTGAGAGTCTAAGCCACATTTTCTTGGCAAGCCTAAATGATATTTTGTTTATATGTCTGAACTCTGTAAAAAAAAAATTGAACCATGGAAACAACTTGGTCTAAGGCAGTTAGCCTAATAGATTTGAGATATTACAAGGATTAAGTGTGTTGACTTATAATGTATGGCTCAGATGCTTATAATTGTGCTCTGTCAAGAGTAAGTGGAGGATGGTGAGTGCAGAAAATTGACTTGTTCATTTGGCTGCCATTTGTGAAACTACTTGTCTTCTGTGTGATTATTAAATCCCCAAACTTTAGGACCAGTTGCTGAAGTCCACCACAGTTGGATAACTTGTATACAATGTCTACAAGAGTTGTTACTACTTGATAATAAATTAACTAACATTTATAATGTTATACATAAATGTTCTTGTATTTTTACAGTCACAATGATATCATTCAGCTGTCTTTAAAAATCAGTATTAGTATTCTTTTTTTTAAACATATGTTTTAAGCTTCATGTAGTTAGATTTTGAGAAATTATTTCTATAAAATCTACTTTAAAATAAAAATTCTAAAAAAATCTTGGTAAGATTTATTGTAAGTTTATTTCTTGGTCTACTGTCAAAACACAGAAATAATTTAATAAGCTGGATATGTACATTTAAATATTGACACACTGTAGTTCATTGCTTATTTTAAAAATTATTGTGAATTTAAGCATCCGCTATTTTTTGTTGCTGTTATTGAAATAATCTTTTACAGCTTTTGCCCCCAATAATCGTCGACAGAGCATGTTTGTAGGTTGGTTAAAAAAAATAGTTAAAATTATATTTTGTAGCAAAGTTTTTTGTTATAGTTATAATTTTTTAAATTTGCTGTTCATGTTTTCAAACATAAGTTTTGATCAAATAATTTAAGCAGTGAGTTTAACATTTTAAATTTGTAATAGACCATCGTGATATAGGTTGAAACATTTAATGATTATTTAATTAGACTTTAGCAGTTACTTAAACAACTGATTCCCAGTGTTCATCAGTTTCCTAGCTAAGTAAAATTGTTTGTCATTTGCCAAAGTTGTAATATTTTAGGAAAATTTTAAAATATGTTTGGAATTTAAGATTACTTTTACATGAAATTAATTTAGGTGAAAAACAAAATATAACCAATACATTTATTTATATCTTTTATATATATATTTTTTTTAATTTATAAAAAAAATAATACACAGTTACATTTATTTAGATTATGATGGACCATCTATGTTGGATCTTAGTATTTTAGGTTTGTATCTTGTGATGATTTATTGTTTGCTCTCAATTTTATTACAATTGTTCATTTAGTGTATTACTGAACTAGTTTGAAAGCATTACAATAAAAACCCAGATTCTCTCTAACAGTGAACTCAAAAAGACACCATTAAATAAATATTTGTTTGGTTTTTTTTTTTTTTTGTCTGTAATTTAAAATAATTTTGGTCTGCTTTGTATGTTAAAAGAATTATTTTTGGTAGTTAACGTATCAATTTTAGTAGAAATAGAATAAAGGCAATAATTTTCTTACCAGCTACCTCATTTAATAATATTTTTGTGTTCTAATGTTACTTTTCTATTAGTTTTTAACTATTCCTCTGTTGTTAATGTGTCTTTCTAGTATAGCAATATGCAAGTTAAAAATCTTAACACTGAAGTTCATTAATTTTAAAAATGCTATTAGTGTTTCTCTTGTACCTACCATATTTTTATTTAAATTATGTATTTTGAAACCACCAAAGATTATATATATATTTATTACTAAAGTACAATTCATATTAGTGATTTTTTTTCTAGAGATAGTAACTTCAACAAGTTTACAATGTAGTTTGAAATTGTAATGCGTCTAAATAATTCTTAGGTTAAATTGTATAAAGTCTGTATGACCGTAAGTGTTTGTTTTAAAAAAATATATACACTTTACACATTTTCTATTTTATATGAAGTAATGAATAATGCCAAAATGTAATTCTATAGGTCATATATTTCACTCATCATAGCATTAGTATAATGACTTAAAACTGAATTGTTTATTCAGAATCTTACCAGCCTGAAGAATTTCCAATTGAAAACCTTACCATGCCAGGTTGGTTTGTCAATGTTCACTATAGTTGAAATACAATTACCACTAAACATTTTATTTTAATATTTGTGTCATTGTTTATTTTCTGTAAATAAATACATTGCCAAATAAGAGTTTAAGACATCAGCTAGACCGGTTCTTACATCAGTTAGAAGCTAATTTACTGATGTCTTAGGTGTTTAACATTGAAGAACATTAAAAAAAAGCTTTTTTCTTTTGTAGAATGCTTTTGAAAACTGTGTTAATTACTCAACATGACAATTATTAATGTTGATTGTAGATTTCTTTTATAAATAGATAAGTACTTGCTTTTAAATAATTCATAGATATTTGATTGAGCAATTTTATTTTAATTTTACTTTATCTGTTTAGCAATAACAATCGTAGATCAGAGAGGTGGAAACATTTTTTCCAAGTTTCTTTTTAAAATTTTCGTTGTTTGTTTTCTAGTTCTCTCATTTTCAAACATTTCCCAGAGGGTTGTTGGCATTAAAACATCCATTGATTGTAATTAACAACAGTTTCAAAAAAATTTTCCTCACCAAATTAAATTAAGTAAAGCTGGCCTAAATGTAATTCCATGACCTATTACATTGTTAGCTATCTACATTAGCTTATCAAAATATTAGAACATCCTACTAAAATTTTTGTTTTAGAAATATGAATATAAAATCTACTTAAACATCTTTATTGTTTACACATATTGATATTTACCTAAAATCTAACTAGAAAATACTAAACTTGAAATGCCATTTTTTAAAACTTTGTTCAACAATAATTTATTTACGTTGACATTTTCACTTATTGGTTTAGTCATTTGTTTTAATTTTTTTATGTTATAAAATATCCCAGAATAAGAAGCTATGATTTAAATCTAGCTGAAATTGTTATTAGTTTGTTTATCACAACATTAACATTATTATTTGAAAGTTTTTTTCTTTAATAAACTTTTTGTAATACTTGTTGTGGCAAATAAGTATCTGGTGATTCATCATCATCATTTCCCGTACGTGCCCAAGACACATGGGGCAGAAGAAGTAAAGTTCATCTTCAGAGACTGCTACACATGAAGGGATAGCATGGTCAGCACTAAGCCCAGCCGCCCTTGTTTCCATTACAGGAGTTAGGTACCCATCAGAGCTGGGTGGACTCAGGGACGTTCCACTGATTTGAACCCGGATTCAAACTCGAGACTCTACTGTCCGTATATCTTATGATTGAAATTGTGTTAATATAATTTTAAAATGTATGCATTTTATAATTTATTACTAATTTTTTTTTTTTAAAGTTTGTAGAGGATTAAGAATCATAAGTTAAATTTAAAAAAAAATAACTTAGTTTTTCACTGTAAGAGAAAAATTAGAACACAAATTTATGCAATAAAATATATTAAGCTATTTAAAGTTGGCGTAAATAGAATATATGAACAAAATCAGATGTATAAATATAATTTCCACTTGTATCTGTGATTCATTTTAATTTTTTTTAAATCTGCATATATTTTGTTTAATAAATGTTATTGTAAAAGGAGGTACAGCGACCAACACAAGCAGTTATTTATCTTCCACACAGAGGAGTAGTGTAGAGAGCAATGATGATATTGGTAATATTTGAAGTTATTTTAAACTTACTTTAGTAAAATATTCCATGTAGTTTCTTAAACATTTTTACTTAGTAATCAGAAGAAGGAAATACAATCTTTTCCTTACCTTCAGTGTAAAATAAACCTGAGCCTTTTTCACTTTTTTTTTTTAACCTTCAGATTTTACTGTTATAAGCAACGCACACGGTAACTTTTAGAACATTGTTCTTGTTTTTTTTTTTATTGTTGATAAGTTATCTACTTTATTTAAGTTTTTTATTTAACCTCGTTATGATACTTATTTTGTACATTTGATTTCTTTAAAGAAATTTGAATTTTTCAAATAGAAATAATTATTTAGTCTGCTATTTTTATTTACTCAACCAATTTGTTATTGATTATTTGCTATTTATACAGCTAGCATTGGTCTATACTGGCATTTAAATTTTGTTCCCTTTAGATTTCCTTCTTGGTTTTTAAAAATTGTTTCACCTTTCATGGTATTTTCATGTCTTAACAAATAGTTAGAAATTGTTATCATTTCATCAATTGTTATTAATTAAAACTAATTTATTTATTTGCCTTTTTATTAATTACCCCTTGAGTCATTGAGGCTTGGTGGATATCATGTTGGTATACAGGATTATTGAGGCTAAGGTTGTATTCATGATGTATTTTAAAATACATTGAAATAAATTTCATTGTCTGTTTTTTATCTACATCTTTGATAAATGTTTACTGTCTCATATTTTTTTCATGTAGAACCTGACTTACTCCTCTTCTTTAAAATTGGCAGCGGCACTTGCTTAAAGCACAGCAACGATTATTTTTTTAAGTCAACCATTTGCATGCATTTCTTTTATTTTGTGCATAAAATACTTTTCAGTATGTAAATAAATATTGATGTTTATTGATAACCTTAACAGTTTAATCATTACTTTACAATCATCAACTTTTTTTAATGAGTTTTTAATCCCTCCAACAACTTACACAATCAAACAGGTTACAGTTGTTTTATGCCTCTCGTGTTTTTTTTGTATTTATTTTATTTAATATTATGTTATTTAGAATACATTATCTTGATTTTTTTGGCCTTTTTAGATGAGAAGAATACGAAAACTCAAGTAGCAGACTTTAATTATTCTATTTCATTAGTTATCTGAAACTAATATTCCAATTTTTATCCAATCCTTTGCAACTGCCCCATACCCTATTAATTGACGCTAGGATCAGGATCTACAAGTGTCTTCAGTCGACAAAACAGTTACAGCACTGGTCGGAGCAGCTCTCCTGAGAGCCCGACTTCCACTAGCTTTAACTACGAACATGGTAACCTCCCACAATGCTTTTCTAGTGTCAAACTTCCTGCTTCAGTTTACACAGTTTGCTGCTCCATTTTTGTCTTTTTTATGTGGTATTTGCACTCTCTTAATCCTGCCCTTATCACTCTTTGCATGAGTTACCTGCCCTTAGAATTTTCCTTTTTTTATAGAGAAATTCCTTTAATTTAAAAAAAAAACTGCTCTAGTTTTTTAGGAACCAAATTATTGCCTGACTCATATCTATACCAGTTATTTTTATTATGCATGGCATATATTAACCATAGTACCTGCCTGTTTGTGGATCTAAATCATCTGCTATGCTATTATTATTTTCATCTGCTGCTCTTCTGAAATCAGTTTGGTGTTAACTGTTTGGCTTGATGATGTGTCTTCCTCTAGTTACTTGTCAACCTGGTTTTTGTTTTCTTTCACAGTAGTAACAAAGTGATCCATTTATATTTTAGTTACCTGATTTGTGTTTTCTGTCATAGTAGTAACAAAGTGATCCAGTTATGTTTTAGATAGGTTCTAAGTAACAAATCTTAAAAGTTTATTCACCTTTTGCTCCATTTATTTCATTCCTTGAATTTTAATAATAAAAAAATAATTTTGATAGTTAAAGCTGAAAAAGAATGTATAAAAAAAGGTTCATGCAATGATTCTCATATTCTATTACAACAAAGTAGCTGAAAACTTTATTTAGTTTATTTACTCTAAATTGTATGTCTGTAATTATTTTTTCCACAGCTCGTATTAATTTTATTTTACATATTATACTAATCGCTTATCTTTGGTTGGCTTCAATTCATCTAACAAAATATTTTTCAGCTTTTTTTAAAAATGTTGTTTAATCCCATACATTTTTACAGGCCTTTTGGGAAGAGCCGCCGTATCCTCCCCTGAAATCAGCGCATTAGCCAACATTATCTTTAATGACAAGGGTACAGGTTTCTTTGTACCTTGCATGCTTTTAGCCCTTGCCAGTCCTCCTTGACAGCTCAAGGAAATGTTTCGTACACATTTTTTTTTTAAAATTGACAACTAATTCCATATACCTTGCTTTCATTTTATGACAACAGTAACAGACTAAATTATAATAGAGTGAATGCATAATATTCATTGATTTTTTTTTTCAAAAAATATTTTATTTTAATATTGAAATACTTTAAAGGGCACTCTACTGGTTTGTTAAACATTATTTTTTAATTTAAAAAAATGTTCAACACATGTTCAATGTAAATGTTATTCCAGCATAGTCTATACTTATGCTTTAATATGATTCTTCTCAAGAATTTTAATCATGAAATTTCACTACATGATCTACATATAAAAAAAAATGAATATCTGATTTATAAAAGACCACACTTTTTGATGTTTAATTCATATCTTATGTTTAAAAAAAATAACATGCATACTCCATGGGAGTGTACACATTTACTCAGTTTTTTAAGTAAAGTGAGGGTGTGGTTTTTTTTTAAATCAGCAATATTTCAGTTGAAGGAGAATGTTTAGTGTTTTATTACTTGCCTCAACCCATGATATCTCATTAAACCCCTTTGCATTTTAAGATTGTTTAAAATTGTTTGTTTTACTCCATTCCTTTTTTTTATTTGATGTGTAGTCTTAGAACTAGCTATTAATTTAACTAACGCTTTGTGCTTTTTTAATAATACTGCCTATATAACTATTATATTAGAGTTAACATTGAATGACCATTTAGTAATAATCAGTTGATATCTGTAATATAAATTTGAAATATTAAAATTTATTTAGTTTTTTAAATAATGCTAATATAATAAAAAGTAAAGCTTATTAAGTTTTATTAAAACTAATGCTGGAAAATATGTAAGTATATCAATTTAAAAAAAAAAAATGTAAATGTAACTTTTATATATTAAATACTTCTGTGCAGTATATGAAATAAAAAATACCACCTGATTATGTTGAAAAATGCCGTTGTATTTTTTGCCTACCAGCTGCACAACAGTTGCCACATCACCTGAAAGATGAGACTGATATGAACGGAACAGGAACTGCCAGCCCGCACACATCACCTAAATCAGCCAGGAAGAATCTCAAGGCAGCGACGAGCAACGATGATACAGACATAACAGATCTTATAGAACAGCTGAAGCAGACCACCAACCTGCAGGAGCAAGCTGATATCATACACTATCTTTTTGTTACCAGGTCATGACCTTTCATCATTCCTTCCTTATGGTGGATTTGCAAAGATTTATATTTCACCACAAATATTTTTTTTTAAATAACACTAAATAAATTATAAGAATTATTAAGTTATGTTTCATAACAACTAGAAATTGTATTGAACAAGTAGTTTTGTACTAAAGTTACCACTGGTAACCTTTAAAGTTGAAGCTTTGAATTAATTGCAGAGGTCCTGACTGGGATACTCATATGGAAGAAAACAGAAAAGTTCCTGTCAAAGAGTTGCTTATTGAATTGTATGAAAAGGTACGAAAAGAAAGGTTAAATTACAATAACTATTCACACAGGTGTGTAGTAACAAGTTAAAACCTACACCAATGTCCACTTGATGTTGTAGAAGAGGTGAGTTTGTTACTTATTCAAATGAAATGGACATCAAATAAAATGAACACACTCTCTTATTTTCAGTCCGGTCAGTGGAAACAGTGGTGGCTTGTTAGGCACACTGCTGGGATGCTGAGGAAAAGAGTTGAAGACTTAGCTCTGGTAAGTTTCAAACCTGGGGACTCGTAGGTGTTGGGTTTTTTTTTTACTGTAATAGGGAAAGTTGGAATCGAAATGTTGTAATACAATGTAATAGGGAAAGTTTGAATTTAAATGTAATAATACCATGTAATAGGAAAAGTTTGAATCCAAATGTAATAATACAATGTAATAGGAAAAGTTTGAATCCAAATGTAATAATACAGTGTATCCTCTGTTACAGGCGGCAACAGATTTGTTAGTGAGACAAAAACAGCTGTCTGTTGGTTTACCACCAGATCATGAAACTACTATCACAAGGTTTACTTATTGATTAGCTTTGTCTTTACATAGCGTATAGTATACCATACAAAATTTTAATTTCATACCAAATGTTATATTTTTTGTTGCTTGCGCAACTAGTTTTTTAAAAGTTTATAATTTCCTTATCATAGTTCATCCATAATCTTCCTTAAATTTTTCATTTGCCAGTTATCCTGCCTGTTAAACATGCTGATTGTTCTTTGTTTTTAATTATTTTTCAGTCCTTTACCAAATGTTACATTTTTTGCAAACGTTAATAATTTCCTTCTTATAGCTCAATCACAATCTTCTTTAAACTTTCCTATTACTTTGCTTTTGACAGTTTTCTTTCCAGTTAAACAAGTTGATTGTACTTTGTTTTTAATTTTTTTTTCAGTCCTTTACCCCCAGATGAACTGGCTGCCATTATATATGATGCTTGTGGTGAAGATCATAGCACTGCTTCTCTCACTCAGGCAAGTTTCTGTTTAAATTGTAAAGATAGATACACTTTCAGTCCTGATGGTCAATTAAAGCAGATCAAGTGAAGATTGTTTATCTTTGATCTCTGCATGTGAAGCGATTGTGTGATCAACCCAGCTAAATCATAACTGGATGAAATTATGCACAAGCTTATACTTAAACATGAGGTGCTCTAAAGTCATTTCATTAGCAATGATGTGCTGCTGGACTACAGTATAGTATGATTTAGATGGTGCGATCAGTTAATTAATATTGCCAGCTATGTTTGGCTATATTATACAAAGGGGTATTCATTCAACTTTACTCCATTTCTTGCATGAATTATCTTCAAAATAAGTCTTCTTAAAACTGCAATAATCCTTACTTTCTATTTGTAACACAGTTTTTTAAATGTTAACTTTTAAAACATTTAGGTATTCTAATGATGCAAATTGTATAAGAAATGTTTGTGTTTGTTAACAAAAATGATCTTGTTAACAAAAATGATCTTCTTCCTCTCCAGGAGCTTCTAGTGTACCTGGCAATGTTCATCCGTACAGAACCTCACCTGTTTGATGAGATGTTGCGGCTCAGGGTTGGACTTATCATACAAGTGATGGCTTCTGAGCTCTCTAGAACTCTCGAGTGTTCAGGTCTGTTTGCATTTTTAGTAGTACATGTTAACATTTACTGGTTGCAACAAATAACGATATTTGTTTTCTTATAAATAACATAGGAGATGAAGCCTCTGATCATCTTTTGAACCTTAGCCCTTTTGAAATGAAAACCCTATTGCATCATATTCTTAGTGGTAAAGAATTTGTCATCAACAGTGGTAAGTATGTTTTAAGTAAACATAAGAACAATTTATTTTTTAAGAAATATGATTTACTTTATAAATTAAGTAGAATATGTAAAGAACTGATCTGCAAACAGTAATAGCAGCTCCAATTGAAACCATTTATCCACTAACCTTAAGCTAGTATCCTTGAACTCTAAAGAGGAGTGGTGAAATCATTAAAATAGCTTAATAATACCTTTTAACTTACATACATATGGCCACAGGTGAACTCTACTTCATCTATTCCAACTAACTTGCAGTTTATGGGTTTCTGCTTACATTATTCATTTAGTTTTAAACAAGAATTGTAAAAGAAAAACCTTGGACTTTGTCAGTTAAGAAATAAAAGTTGAAAGTTACCCATCCATAGGGCAGATGAAGTAGAGCTCATCTGTTCCTTTGTTCATTTCATTTTCTCATTTAATACCCACCATGTGATTCATTATTTAAATGTGTTACGTAAAACTTCTGTATGGATAGATCTCTTTGTTAAAAGGGGTTATGAAATCACTCTAGAGTTAGTTAGCATATCAGTCATAAATGGTGTTTGTGTTGCTTTTCATATTTTATAATCATCTTTTAATGAATAACCAATTAAATACTTACCATCAAATCTAAACAAGAAAACTAAATAAATATTATAGCTCCAATAAAAGTGACACAAAGGCCAATTATAAATAACAATTTATAACTAATATCATTCAGTTAATTAAGCACTTAATCATTTCTCACAATTTGTGTATGTTTTTAGTTCTTTTTCTTTCCTTTTGAAGTTTTAGTAAAGTAATTGCACTATTACTGTTCTTTTAGCTAGACTTTAAAAAAAAAGAGTGTTGGCCTAATTTTATACTTAAATATCCTATTTAGATTTATTTGAACAATTTTAAAATACCAATATGTGTCTGCCATATGATTGCATGTTGCATTTATTTATTTTGCAAATTTAGCTTTTCCCAATTTTTAAATGTTCCTATTTTATTGTTTTTAAATCAGCTTTGTTGTTTTTACTGTGTAGCATACAACAATAAATAATATCTTTGAATTAATTCAGATTAGAGGAATTTCAATCTAATCATTTTCCAAAATATTGATTTATTATCCGTGAATGTAATAATAATTGTTTTTTAAAGTAACACTAGTAAACATCTGTTTTCCTACTATTGATCAACAGTGCATGCTATCACTCATTAAAGAGAACTAAGGCTATATAGATTTTTCTCACCTTACTGATTGAACTCTAGATTTATGAGTTGTTTTTTTTCTTAAACCTCAGTTGTGCATATAGCTTTGTCTCCTTGCATGCGAAGTACTCTACTAATATCTTGTCACAAATATCCTGCTAATTTTTTTTCAATTTCAAACCATTCCCTGAAAGTGTCATTCATGGCTTGCAACAAACTGCCACAACTAACTCAAGTGTTCAACCTTAAATATGGTTGTCTATGTCCTCTTAACATTTGAAATGCAAATGACAGTAATGATCTCTCTCATTTTTTCCAATTGATGTGTTTGGTGTGCACGCTTCACTCTTTTTCCTTCAGTACCATGTGAGTTTACAGAGACAAAATTATCTGTGAAAAGTCTTCATACAAAGCATGAAACAACTAGGTTATCTCGACTCAGCTGCAGGAATAAGGTTGGATTTTATTGTAGAATCTAGTCATTGCACATCAAACATTGATTTGTTTTTAAAAAAATTAAAATAATAGTATACACATATTTGAAAAAAGGGAAAATCCTAGTCCCACAACAGTTTTAAAATTAGATTATATAAGGTAGAAATTGCTGTGTACTTTCAATTACCTTTTTTGTGTGTTGTTTTTGTTTTTCATCATTTTCAACATCTGGATTTTAGTCGGTAAGTTAATATCTATAATGCTTCACTTGATTATTATTACAACTGAAGAAGAGAACATGGTTTGTATATTTGTATATACTGTCTATTACATAGTATTTTTTGTAACTCTATGTTAGTTTATTTAAAATGCATATGGTTTTTATGCATGACTAACAAAACACCATGTATATGATCATGATTTGTACCTAATCTTTCAATGTGTAAAAAATTTGTATAAATGATAGTCTTTTTAAAATAGTGAAATGTAGAAGAAAAGAAATTTCTTACTACAGATTAAACAATATAGATCTAGTTATTTTTCTTAATGACAAAAAGAAATCAAAATGTAGTTAAATCTTAACATTTATCCTAAGTATAGAGACAACATACTCCTTGAAGGATTTTATATCTCTTTGAATAACCAACATTGCTATTTCATGTGTACTTTGGCTTGTTAAATGAGATTATCCTTGGGTCATCTGATAAAAACACACATTTATTAGCCTTTCCATAACACAATTAATTTTAATTTCTTTTTTTAACATTATGATGTAGCATGTACTGCCAAAACAGAAGTGCTTATTTGTATAAGATTTGTTTATATATAAGTTAAATAGAAAATCTGTAGAAAATGTATTCTTTTATCTAAGCTGAAAATAATCACCCAACAGATTTTAACAATGCATGGTATTTACAAAATTGAGCACTTCTGGGGTATAACAGTATAAGCTTTTCCTCTGCTTTAAACTTTCTTGTAACATCTCTTATCGTAAATGTGAGAAAATGTATAAATCAATATTGGATAACTTTCAGATAAACAATTTTAGTAGATGTGTCACCTAGAATATAGAATAAACACTAACTGTCCAATTCCTACCCTGTGTTATTAAGGTATAATGAATAACTGTTCAACAAGACAATGTAAGGTTACAAGCTACAAGTGAGGGATAATTAATGTATAATGAACATCAATTAGCTTATTTCTGCTTGTTATTGTGCTTATCTGCTTACATATAATTCATTGTTCATTTACTTTTTTATTTTATTTCACTTTTGGCGGACATGTATTTGGTATATATGAATCAATTTAAAATTTAACCAAAAATTAATCCCCTTGAAAAGATAGTTATTTTTTAAAGTAATCCCTTCGAAAGATTTTTTTAAATTTAAAAAATGTATCCGATTTTATTACTTCTTATATATTAATATTAAATGATGATTAGCAGTGTTTAAATGTAGAGGCTAACCTACAATAATGTTCATATACTGTTTGAGTTATGAATCGTATCTGAGAAGTTTTACTTTAAAAAGTAAGGTTAAGACAGAATGTCCCCCTACACAAAGTAAACTAACCCAACAGAACAGTTCTATTCACCTCTCAAACTGTGCTTCATAAATCACAGCAGTTTGTGCCAGTCAGTTACATCACTGCTTTTGCTTGTTGCTATTGTCCTTGCCATTTTTGTTAAAGATGCAGGCAGTATGATGAGACTTGGGGACAGAATAATGGATTTAAGCAAAAGGAAAAGTGTAGTTCATGTAAGTTTTTACTCAATTGTTACGTCATTGAGAAAACCAGATGTTTGTTCCAGGAATGCTGAAAAATAACCTAGTAAATCATAAGTGCTACACTTTTTTTAGTTGCACAATTCTGTTTGGCCAGTTATTTAATTCATACGTGAATTTAACCTGTAGATAATTTCAAAGAATTCATTTCTTATATTAACATTAAATACATTACATAAAATTTATCACATAAAATATCAAAAAAATATTTAAAAATGAAATCATAAAAAGTAAAAAGTAAAAAAAAAAATTTCAATTATTTGTTTACTGTATTAACTTGAAAAGTTGCTTTTAAATATCCTGTTACAGACAAAATTGCCAAGAAAAAATGAAGAAAAAAAAGTCTGTAAATCTTTATTTTTCAAAAGTGTTCAGTGTATTTTTGATTGAACCTTTTTTTTGTCTCCAAAATATTATGCCTTTTTTTTTTCTTAATTTTTAATTTTGAATATTTGTATTATTTTGTTTCACTGTGATTTATTTGGGCCTGTTTCTTCCTCAAAACTTAATTTTAACTGATGGTAATATATTACAGTGTGTCGCATTACAAAGTAGGTATTTTAAAGTAAAACATTAAAATGTTAGTTTAGCAACTACTTTACTTGTATATTTATATCTATATAGATATAAATATATGGATATATAAATGTATATTTATACATATATATTGAGAGATATAGAATAGATTGAGATTTATAGAGATTTATATATATATTTATCACTTCCCTAAAACTAGATTGTTTTAACTCCAGTTTTTTTTTTTAAATCTTTACAACAAAGCTGTCAAATTTTGTTTTACTTAACATTTCTATATTAAGCACTTGGTGAAATTAAATTGTTTTTTAATAACGGTGAAAGATAGGGTGTCAAGTCATTAACCTCTTGACAAGGACAACAATTTTAAACCAAATTAAGGTTTATATTTAAGGAAATACTATAAGATGATGAGAACCAAAAATCCTAATTAAAAACAAAACAATCATAAGAAAATAACAGTGTTTAATTATGAATTAATAGTTTTAATTAATTAAAATTTAAAAAAGAGATATTGTGAGCGACCCTCCAAGTACTTTTATGTGGTGCGCTCATTAAAATTTTGAAGAACATTTGAAATTCAAGCGCTGCTATCAATAAATTTTACAGTGTCCTCAATTAATTTGTGCATAATACACCTCTAAGAGTGATTGCTACTTTTTTTTTACAAAGTGTATGAGTTTCCAAATTTTGGGATGGCAACATCTTATGTTGGACTGTAAACTTTTGTGCCAGCCTTCAACTGAGTTTTTTGTTTTTGGCATATGGTCTTCTGTACACATATTAAGTGAAAACATGTTGTAGTCGTCTCCAGCCTCGATGTTGTGGTCTGCCAATATAGTTCCCTTGAAACAATCTTCAATCAACCTGCAATGTACGTTGCTTCCGGGGGGGGGGGGGATTTCAGATCATTTGTCTAAGGCATTACTGTTTTCAGTTTGCACAAAATCCAACTTAGCATGAGAGCGAATTCACAATCAAGTTGGTAACACTGTTGAAGGCCAGAGTCCTGAATCTTTATCTTAGCTTTGCATTTTGGCTTGTCCTGTCTTTTCGCACACTCATATGATAAATTATAAAATATAATTCCTTTATATAGCTTAGTTTTGTTCTCGTTAATGTTAAAATTTCCTTTTATAAACCTCGATTGGTGTAGGTTATTGTCCAAGTGGTTTTATGTTTAGGAGCCAAAAAATAGTGCCACACATTTTTATATCAAGCTGCTTTGTTTGAACATTCAAATTCTGGGGAAGCTATAATATATTATATATAAAGGGAAATGCTTTAAACATACTTGAGTGTATTTCTCATGCTCATAAAATCCCTTGTATAAATTATATATAATATTTTTTGAATGTGAGAAAAACAAGTTTATATTTTTTTTAATTTCCGTTGAATTCTTGTTCCTGCTGTTTGTGTAAGAAATATATTTTGTCTACTATTTTATATTTTTAAAATTACAGTGAATTGCACAGAATAGCTTCTTACATCAATAACGATAGTTGGTTCTAGTACTTTAAATATAAGTTTGTAATAAAAACTTATTCTGTGAAAAAAATTATTTTGATGCTGAACATATTTTCTGAAAAATATATACCCATAATGTAAGCGTATGGTGCTATCTTCATTTAGGTGACGTCAGAATTTGCGTTATTAGGGTTATCCCATGTACCCTCTCAAGAACAAGAAGCTGAGGAGGAAATAGCAGATCGTCAAGGCCAGTGGTTGCGTCGCCGTCGACTTGATGGTTCACTGAATCGAGTGCCACTTGGGTTCTATCCTCTCTTGTGGGAACTTTTAACACGGGTATGTGTATAATAGAGACTCTGTGGGGTAACTTGTTGGTTTAATGCATTTTAATTTTCATGAAAACGTTTCAAATGAATTAATCAGTTTAAATAAATTAAATTTGTATGCAGTGAGAATTAATCAGTTTTAAATAAATTTGTATGCAGTTAGAATTAATCAGTTCAAATAAATGTGTATGCAGTGATAATTAATCAGTTTGAAATAAAGTCAGTATGCATTGAGAATTAATCAGTTTAAATAAATTTGTATGCAAGGACTCTTCAGTGAGAATTCATCAGTTTGAAATATAGTCAGTTAGTATGCATTGAGAACTAATCAGTTTAAATCAATTCAATTTGTACGCAGTGTCATGGTTTGCTGATAAAAGGAAATGTTCTACCTGGATCATTGACAAGAGAGGTAAGCCATATTCAAGCATTTGTGATATTCTCACAAATTCATTACTGCATGTTACTAAGTGATGTTAATCTTTAAATTATTAAAATGAACCAGCTTTAAAAAAAAATAATGGAATTTGTTAACAACACTTAAATAGACTTTAAATTATCTCATCCACATTACCACGTTGTCTATTTAACTTAGTTTTTTTTATATGTTTTGAATAGATGACTAAAGGAGAATTCAAATTTGCCCTTCAAGTAGAAATGGTGTTAAATAGAATTCCACAGCCTGAATACCGTCAGTTAATGGTGGAAGCCATGATGGTTATGACTATGTTAATAGAAAATGACGGCAATCGTATCAACTTAAGTTCTGTGGATATTGAAGTTGACAAGGTGGTGCATGAAGCTAACAACTTGTTTGTTCAGGACCTGGTAAATAGTCTAACTTTTAATTTTTGCCATATAATCTGTTACTAAATATTTTAACATTTTTAATAACCAGCTTTATAGCTAAATAAAAATGCTGTATATAGTTTTTTATAATGCAGTTATTTTTTGGTGTTTAGCAAAATGTAACATATGCCACTTAAAAAATTGTTTGGTGCTTTATGTGTATGTAAGTAAAGAAATAATACTCACTGACAAAGTTAAATTAATATGCATTCTTGTTCATTTTTGTATAATTTGAATAGTGAAAAGAATATTAATGTTTTAATAATTAGTTCTGATTAATTTTTCTTTATAAATATCCTTCATCTCAAGTAATGGTTTGTTTTCACAGAAAATGCCACAGGATGTAATAGAAAGGTCATTGGGAGCAGCAAATATCTGCTTATACTTGTATGATAGCGCTCCAAGTGGCAGGTTTGGTTCCATGGCGTACATGTGTAGAGCTCTGGCTAACATCATACAGCTCCCAGCCAACACTGAACAAACCATGGAATGTAATATCTGTTGATTATGTACATCTCGCCAACTCTGATTTATGTCCAAACTAGTGATATTAAAAAAATGTTGATGCCGGTCATAACTTAAATTACAAGAAGAAAAAAAGTAGCTGTTTTTAAATCTAATAACATATCCTAGTTTGCAAATAAAATTAAATCCCATTCCTTCTGTAAAATAGATCTTATTCTGTGTTGCTTGAGTCTTTCATTATTTATTTTTCATTTAAATATACTTGGTTTTTATAATGGAAACAGGAAGCTCCACATGAGTAGCAGAATCATTGAAAATATCAGCCTTGTTGTACCCTAGGTTGGATAGGTTAGCTAGAGCTCTAACTCAAACAGATATGTGTTTTAATTCATGGAAAATATTTAGTACAAAAATCAGTTTTGTACATCATTCTAATAATATACATTGTTGCTGCTTTTTATTTTTATATTGTGTATACAAGTTTTATTATCTTTTGAACTTTATCTCTGTTCAAGTATTTTCTCATTATTTAGTACATGTGCCAGTCACAAAAATGTGTAAATCCAAGTTGTCTCCTTTTTAATATTGTAGATACAAATGTCACCAATGGAGATATTTAAAGACAATCTAAGCTAATTTAAGTTACATTTCTTTTAGAATTGTTCTCCGAGGAAGTCTGATGATTGTTTTGAAATCAAATACACAAGTGTGTTTGTGATAAGATTTTTATTTTGTTTTGATTATTTGATGAATGCAGTATTTGTTACACATAATCGGCTGAAAGGTGACCTACGTTTTATAAATAAGTACCAAGTTGTTGTTTATTTTAAATTGACAGTATTTCGACAAAAGATTTCAACAGAACAGGTGTGCTGAGATCAAATTTAATCTAAACAAATGTAATACTCATGATATGAAATCAAAACAAGGACTTGTGCTTGAGAAATAACAATATATGGTTGCAAATGATATCTGCATGACCTAATGTGATTATAAATTAAGTTTTATTAGGGGAAAGATTTTGAACTTTACTTATCTAGTTTATACCTATTTTATTTTAATATATTACCTTACATTAATTTTTTTTGCTTCATTATAAAAAAAACTGGTACAAGTTGTAAAAAAAGTGTTAACATTTTTACAGATTTTAAAATACTTTATTTTGCTGTTTTGAATAGTATAATAGTATTAATTTAGATCAGTATGAATGGATAAATTAACAATTTTATTCTGTTGTACAGAATAACTAAACATGATTCTATTGACATGGTTATATACCATTGTATTGAACAAGTTTACCTATAATGTACAGTACTGGTTATGTTATGACTGTGTACCAACTTTCAAGCTTCTTCTACAAATATATTGTGGTAATCATAAATCTTCCTTGCTTACTAATTTTCAACCAAATTCTTACCTTTGAGAATAACCTTTTTCTTTTTTGTTTTAAAATAAATCAGTTTAACTATACCCAATTATTGTGTTCAAGTCTCTTTTTTTTTAAAAAACAAACTATTATAGACTATATTACTAATTGTTAATTAGTCATTCATGTAATTAGCAATTAAAAGAAAACATAACTTGGTCTCAAGGAGAATCCACAATTATGTTAAATGAAATTCTCAAATTAAGAGCAAAGTCGAGTCATTCACAATTTAAATCAGTTGACAATTACATAATATACAATATATATATATTGTTGTGAAGTGAGTTTGAGGACGGGTTGACATTTGAATACATTTATCAATTAAACAACATAAAGTATATGTGATTCTATCTTCTTTTATTTCTTTTTGAACATACATCAATAATCTTTGGCTGTCTCCTCTAAATATTTTTATAGTTAAAAATAGTGTAGCCCTACATGGGAAATGATGCTCACAAATCACTGAAATTAGTAAAATCAACACTTCATGTAATGATAATAACTAGCTTGCCTTATGTGACCAACCCATCATTCATTGGAAGTTGGAGGTGTTAAAACCCCTGAACCCCCAAATGACTACTGCAGATTTTGTATATATATATATATATATATATATATATATATATATATACTTGCTTATTCCCGTGCTTCGCCACGGTGTGGATATGGATATTACCTCAGAGTTTACCGAGCTGTGCGCGGGTGCGGGTCCCAACATTAGGGCGAATATTCCTTCAGCGCACTAATCTGCGCACAGGTAACTTATACCAGTGCTTCACTAGGGTGTGGATATTACCTCTGGATGGGGTCCCCGCATTGGGGCTGATATTCCTTCAACGCTGCACGCGGGAGTCGGTAGCACTTTGGTGTGAATATGGATATTCTCGAAAATTACGGTAAAAAAAAAATCACGAACGTCCGCCCAGACATCTCTCTTCCCTGAACTTGCAGTGCAATCTAAACTAACAAAACATTTACCAGGGCGTCCGCGCAAAGGGAGAGACTTCCACATGGTTCCAAAATCTATAGTGATGACAGAATGGCTTTGGCAGATCTTTGTCATGGGAGGGGTCCAAAAAAATTTAAATTATATTTATAGATATAATATATATATATATATACATATATATATATATATATATATATATATATATATATATATATATATATATATTTATATATATATATATATATATATATAGTGTCGTTGAGGCACCACAGTTTTCTCATAAATTTCTGCAATCTGTTTTGGTCCTCTGCTGCTCTGAGTAGTTCTGCAACTAACTGTTGGTTTGTGAAACATGCCCAGTAGACTTTCATAGGGATCATGTGCATTAGTAGTTAAGAAATATAGAATTCACCTGTTTCTTTAAACTCACCACAATGTTATACCACCTTGTAAAACTTTTGTAAAAAAAAATTAATTAAAACTGATAGTGATAATGCCCTCTATCTATGATCTATACTATTACTAGACTATAGTATATTCTATCTATATGGACTATAGAATGTTAACTAAGAACAATACAAAAACAATTTCTGCATTGTTTTCTACTAGAACTATTGATTAAAGTCAATTCAATTTTAAAATTATTTAATAAGCTGTTTCATTGCATTTATTATAATATTAAAACCGAACAAGATTTTTTTACTCCAACTAAATCTATATTTTTTTTAAAGTTTTGTTTCGTGTCTCCCGAAAATATGGTAAACCTTTTACAGTGACACAACATTTGTTTGGCAAAATGTCGGAAACCAAGACAGTGGTTCCATTTCAGGCATCGTCTGTCGTCGCTGTTACAGAAAATGCCAAAGAAAGTGAGAAAGGGAACGGTTTGAAATCTCATCCCATATTTGAAGCTGTCAAAGCTGGGTGCGTATTTATAATTTTCATAAGTTAGCATCAGCTGTATTGTTTGAAATGTCGATTTGTTTTCCGTTGCCCAGGGAATCTAAAATTCCAAATTCTAAAATTATTAAAAATGTAATGATGCCATTTGCCAGCATTTATCCTTAAAATTAAAATACATAAATCCATAGTAAATCTAGATCTGAATTATATAATGAATAATGCTGTTGAAGCTATTGTTTTTAGCTTGAATTTTTCAGCTACTAATCCCCCTCCTCAAAAAATAGGCCAACTCATGCCATGCTACTCCAAAGAACTAGGCTAAATCAATCAATGAATCTATTCAGTCACTCAGTGGATTAATAGTATAAGTATTGATTTTCTCTTCACCTGCCACTTAAAGGTATTGATTAGCCTATATTATATTAATCAAAACAGTCAGAAACTATGGGAACATTTCTGTAAATGTAAATTGTTGTAAAAATTAAATCTAGGCCTTAAATATTAATAAGATCAGCAATGTTTGCATTTTTTAAAAGAACCAGGACAGTTGTATCTTCAACTCTTTACGAGAATCTTATTGAATCAGGGGAGAGATGTTGTGAGCCAGACAGATACTGCTAGTATTGAATTACAAAGCAGAACTGAATGACCTGTAGTGACACCTTAGTCAGATGACCAAGGGACCAGCACAGATATTAAATTACAGAATGGAGTGACTAGATCTAGTACTTATGCTTCAGACTTATGACTCTGTTGGACCATTTCTATGAGATGGCAGCACCCAAGAATGTTGACTCTAGGTCGACACGTGAGGTTGACCTGTATCCGACACTCCCAAGGCCATAAGGGATCCAAGCCCCGGGGGATGACTGATACTTGTGGTGTGCTTGTCTGATACTAAAGATGTATGCCATGTTTTAGGTGTAACAATCCCTGTGATCACTACTTAAAATAATAGCTATCTTTTGTTCCAAACCCAAAACCTATTTACATTTTTGCCATACTTATTTCAGCTGTCACTTCCACATTTCCCTTAATTTTCATTTTGAACCTGAATTACTCCATTTGTTGTATTGTTCACCAATTTCTAAGAATAATTTAATCTATTCTTGATAATCCCATAGTCCACAACCCTAACAAAATAGTTATTTTTCATTTAAACTGTTTACTCTAAATTTCCATGAAACAAATATTAGGATACTATATCCAACTTTATGAGTTAAGATGTGTTTGGTGTCATTACAGTTATTATTGTTATTATCTAGCTGAGATATATGTTTATTTTATCACTGAGTTAATTCATAACTTCATCTGATCACAGGGAATGCTATTCATATATTCATTGAGTTTTAAAAAAAAATACACCAAATAAATTATTTGTTGAAAAATTAAGATTATTAAACAAAAATGTGTGCAACAACTTCAACAAAGCTTTGTATAGACTGGTATTGGTAAACAATCACAATTCAAATGGATTTCTAGTGTCATTAAAATATCATTGGAATGTCCTTTAAAATTTCTATTAGTTTTCCTCAAATTTAAAAACTATAGGGACATTGATAACAGACATGATGATTTGGCTGAAAACAATTAGAGGACAATAAATTTGTATAGAACGATTCACTGGTTGAAAGTAAAATATTTTTATTGTAGCCCTTAAAAATATTATATATTTGTACAATTAAATAGAAAAAAATATATTAGTTCAGTCTTGAAAGTAAAACATTCTTGAGAAAATAACTTTTGTTTTTCATTTATGTCTAAAATCCATATTATATTCATTTTTTTTTTTTTAATATAATATAGATTGCTGATTCCAGTACAGTCATTAGCAGAACAATATGGCTTACCTGTTTTGGCATTAAGGGATGATAAAGGTCATACTCCAGTTCACTGGGCTTGTCTTGGGGGACACACAGCCATTCTGAGGTATTTTTCCTCTATAATTAAATGACACTGTTGTTGTTGTTTTTTTTAAACCTATCCCTCAAATTTGAACTATTTTCAAAAAGGTTTGTGTGAAACATTTGAATTGTCTAGGCATTTATTTAATTTTAGCCTAACATTATTTTTTGTGTATGAATAAGGTCACATAAACAAAGTCACTATTTGAGTTGATTTCTTTCAGGTACATGATAGAGAATAAAGTCCCAATTGATGAACCAAGTTCCAATGATCTAGGAGCCAAGCCAATACACTGGGCCTGTGTCAATGGCCACATAGCTATAGTTGACATCCTGACACAGGTACCCTTCAGTTTTGTTCTGCTCACTCAACATTAAGTTTAGTGTACTTTATATTTTCCTGTAGTATTAATTGATGCTGAACATTTGTTTCTTGAAGAATGTAAGTATTTCACTGCCATGTTATCCTAGGCTGGAGTTGACTTGGACTCAGTGGATCACAAGAACTGCACACCTCTTATTGTAGCAGCACAGTATGGTCAGACTATGTTGGCTGGTTATCTCATGGGCAAAGGTGCTAGGCTACAGCTCACAGATAAAGACGGGGACAATGCTTTGCACTGGGCAGCATTTAAGGGTTTGTTTATTCATGTTTTTTTTAATCTAATTAGTCAGTTGTTGTTTTTTTTGGCTTGAAATAAAGTAGCATTTTAGCAACTTTGAACATATACATCATTGGTTATTTTTATTTTTTTACATGAAATATGCTAAAGTGGCATTTAAGCAATTTTAAAAATATATATTTTTCTTTAGACGATTAAAAATTAAGTTTGGAACCTATTTTTCTAACAAAAAAAACTCTTAGGTATTTACTGTTGTGGCAAGAACTTAGAATAAAAGCAAGAAAATGGTATAAACTAACAGAAAAGTCAGCAATAGGTTTAACCTTATCTGTGCCTGTTTTAAGATGTGTATAAACTTTTTTTATACTTTTCAGGTCATAATGAACTGATGCGACTTTTGATCTATTCTGGCTTCAATCCTAGACAAAAAGACAACTTTGGCCAAACAGCACTTCATCTTGCTTGTATCAATGGGAACCTGACAGCAGTCAGAGAACTCTGTGAACAGGTGAAACTTCATTTTTCTTGGCAATATCGTACTCATAGATATGCATTTATTGTTGGTTAATGTGGCATATAATTAAAGTGAGGCTTACTTTCACAATGTTTAATTTCTTATTAAAATGTTTGCTGAAATCTACAGTATCATATCAAGGTTTTTTTTTCTCCTGTTCAGGTAGGGTTAAGGATTAACTTGACAAAAAAAATTGAATGCTTACCATTATATAATTCTTGTTATTTGTTTTGTTTCTTTTGTTTTATTTTTAATTGTTTTTTTTTATCCAACATTTTAGGATGGTGTAGAAATAGACATACCAGATAATAATGGTAAAACTCCTCTCCAGCTAGCTCTGGGTAGGAAACATGATGCAATAGTTAGCTATTTAAAAAATGAAGTTCAATCTAGAAACAGTATTTTACCCCGTATTGATTGTTGGTAAGTACCATACCAAGGTATATTCTATGCATTTAACTGGTTATCGTTGTCTTTAATTTTTTAATTCTGGCCTTAGGTTTACAAATGTAAGCATTTTATAATTAACAGTGGTTACGTTTATTAGAAATATTTTAAGCTTTTGGTTTATTTTGGCACTTGATTATTTTGTCATTTTGCTAGATTTTAAAATTGTAATTATTTTTTTTTCTTTTGCCAGGGCCATTATATTTGGACCACCTGGCAATTCTAAAGGAGCTCTTCTATTCTTTTTCTTCAATGTTGTTTTATGGGGTTATCCCATGTACATATTTAAGGTAATATTATTTAACATAAAGTAAAACTTGTGTTATTGACTTAGTTGATAATGTGGCATAATCATTTCAACAGGAAAGTATTTTCTATAAAATTTATTTTAGTAAGCTCTCCAACTTCGTTGTTAAAAATGTCTTTAGTAAAATTTGTTAAAATAAAATCCTAAAGTAATGTTTGACTACATCAATGTGAATTAATTCTACTTTCAGTGTTTACCTATTACCTGGAATGAACTTCAGATTTTCCATGTTCTCTTCATGTTCACTAATGTGATAATGTGGATCTGTTTATATCATGCCAACACTATAGACCCCGGTTATCTGCCGAGAAATATACCAGAGTATGATATGGCAATAAAACAAGTATGTTTGTTTCTTGGAAAATATAATTAATATCATGTTGAATTTAAATCACACAAAAAATTACTACACAGGTAGAGAGAAAGTAAGATTCAAATTACACTGTATTATAGCAAATAAATAGTTATGTTTAAGTTACATGAATTATCTTAGTTTTTCTCATACACTACCAAACTTAGTGTTTAAATAAAACTTTATTGTAATATCAAAGTTTTAAGAATTTTAAATTTTAAAAATTAGGTTGAATCTAAGATTGTTTAATCACTAAATCCATATCAGCTTGATCATGCAATAAAGGCCTAAAGTCTTGCAAGGTTTAATCCCACTATTTATTAATAGATACAACTAATTTACAGGTAGCTCATTTTGATGAATGGAAGCAGGGACAAAATCCTTTATCAAGGCTGTGTCACACGTGTCGAACAGTAAAGCCTTTGCGAGCTAAACACTGCCGTGTATGTAATCGCTGTGTCAAAGAATTTGACCATCATTGTCCATATATTCATAACTGTGTTGGATATTATAATAGGTAAGTAAACAAAAGTTTGCATTGGCTAGTTTTTAGGTGAAATATCATATTTTTAAATCTAAATAATTATTACACAAAAAGTTTTTTAACTACAAAACTGAAATTTAAAGTACATTACTCTTTTGACATTAGCATGAAACTAAAAATTATTACTTAATTTTATTGGCATGATATTTGTTGGGTTATATTTCTAATTTACAAAAATGTATACTTGTCTTTAAAAACTTTTGCACCTTCTTTATTTTTATTTAAAATTTGCTAAATATTAATTTTTTTGTTTTTTTTTTGCATTTATTGATTTTATTCCTTTGCTTATGCTTAATTTTAGAACCCTTGGTTTGGTATATAAAAATGTATGATTTATTCTTAAAAATTCTTATAATAAATAAAATTAAATCAGTTCAATGTGGTATCCAGAAAATCATTTATTTGCAATTTATTTAATGAAAACTAAGGGTTTTGCTATATGTGCCGCTTTTAATAGTATACGCCTCATGTATATTAACATATTAAACTGCTAAGTACAAGATATATTATTTTAAATACCAAACTGTTTACCTTATAAATCAAATTGATTTCACTTTAAAGAAAATTAAATGCCAATACCAGATAAATCTTTAGCAAAAATAGTAACAAAATGTGTATACAGTTATAAATTATAACTAGATTTACATCCTAAATGTTTCAACTAGTGTCAACTTCTTATTATCAGAGATTTAAAATCAGTCTGTGCTTTTGAAAAAAAATTAATCAACAACTATTTGAATTCAGTACTAGCAGTTTTAGTGTTAAAGTTTTCATGTTTTGCTTTCCTTTTACTGATATCAAATTATATTGTTAAAACAACACAAGTTTACTTCTGTGGACAGATTTTATTGTTTGTTTTATTTCATTTCCTAAGGAAGAGAATGTTTCAAAATTCTCTTGTTGATGACCTGTGTTTTTAATTTTTTTCTTAAAAGTGTTGTTTTAAAATAAATATAATTTGATTCCCCAACATTTTATGCCGACTGCAGCTTCCTATGTTAGCAACACTAACCACAGTAGAGCTTGAGTTAAATCCCACTGCTTGTGAAACAAAAACTGTTTTGGGTGGTGAACATCAGTCATAAGTTATATCATCAAGTTTAGAGACACAATCTTAGCAAATTTCTCTTCAGAGATTTCAGTCAATTTGTTTTTTATAAAAAAAAATGTAATCAGCAAAAATTTTGAAATGGTGTTGGTGTTATCCCAAATCTCATGCATGCTAGAACAACAATCTGTGACTAATTTTGGTGTGACTGGCTATTAGCGTGTAAAGAAATTAGTGCATAATGCATTGCTAATTGTTGGAACATAGGACATTGTAGTTCATGCCGTTAGGTATTTCTGCTGCGGAATATAGGACATCCTTGCTAGGGAATGTAGTGCATCCCTGCTGGGAATGGAGAAAATCCCAATGTAGGACATTGACATCCTTTCTGGGAAATGGAGATATTTTTTCCTACTGGGCAATGGAGAACATCTCTACAATAAATCCTTGCTTATCTCTTTTTAGGCTCCTTTAAAACAAAAATTCTTTACATCTGTGAATCAAAATAGCAGGCCCACAGTAGTTTAATAAGATGAGAAATTGTATACCTAAGCTTCTAATTTGCTTTAGGGCTTAGCATGGAATTAATTTTGATAGGCGATTGTAGGCACACACCAGCATGTGATCCTATTGATTACCCAATTTGTACAACTGTTTTCACCCAGTATTGAACTATCCTAAGATGTGCTGCAGTTAATTATTTAGTATTGTAAAATAACGTTAACAATAGCATGATAAATTAAAAATGAGCATGCATTTTGTCAACATTTTTTGCTTGGAATTGCTTGCCTTTTTTGGTTTAGGGTATTATAATTGATCTTAAAATAATTACCTGCATGGTTAGCATATTTAATTACTGCAATTAGTTAACATAATAGAAAAGTTTTCGAGAAAAACAATGCTTGTAGACCCAGACATAAAAGCTATGACCTATGATCCCTATTCATTGATAAATTACTATAATTTTTTTATTTACAAGATTTAAAGACATCTTTTTTTTTTGTTTAGATTGGCTAATAGTTCAACTTTCCTAGATGTAATTATTAATCAAGCAGTAGAGAATTACAATTGTATCATGTACATGCTTGCTTCAGCCATCAGCAAGTTTGGTCTCTATCAGCACCATGATTAGCAGTATTTCCATTCCTCCATTCTTGTAGGATGTGGTTCTTTGCATTTCTTGTGTCACTGGGAGTGTGTATTGCCACTTCTGACTACTTCTGTTATTACATTCTCTACTACATTCACTGGGACTGGCTGGTTGTGGTCGGAGCTGTGGAGATGGCTATTGTGTCTGTAATGGATGGTGTGGTCCTTAGTATGTCGGTAAGACATTTTCCTGCATGCTGATTACCATGTGCATGTAACAAAAAATTGAACCTGTTGAGTTTACTCAAGGCAAGAACCAGGTAAAACAAAAATCTACTTTTCCAAAGTTCTGAAGTTTCTCTGGTTGGAGATTTAGCTTCACTACATAGATATAAAGGTTAGTCAATACTTATTTTACTAATGATCAGTATGGTAGCATACATTGAAGTGAACTTAGGTCCAATGTGAATTAAGCAGGCGCCTCAGTTCTGACTGGGATTCAAACTTCTAAACTTCAGGCTTCTCTTCTTTTGTCCTGTTATTGTGAACATACAAAAATACATCACTTTTACTCCTACAAACTTAACTATAGTGGGATATTTTTTTAATTTAAATGGAATTTATAACTTAATACTTCATGCGGTAAAAAATTTTAAAAACCTATGCCAGGTTTAGTGCATAAGGTGGCAAGGTAAATAACATGTAAAGTTTATCCAGGAAACAACTATTTAATGATGTGAAAGGTTGTGTTAAACTATTGTTTGAAATGTGGTTAACATCATGTTCAAGTATAGCCACTGTAATTGATAAATATTGAAGAACCAAAGTCTGACAGATGAGAAATTAATTCAATCATACACTGGGAAATAATTTGTATTTCTTGTTAGATTTTTTACTTCCCCCTAGCTCTTATTTAATGTACCTGTAGCTTGTATTTCAAAAATACTAATTTGTCTTTTTTTTTTATTTATCATAAGTTTTATTATTATCAAAACAAGCTGTACATTTTTTTAGCAACTCAATTCATTTTTATTTGAGTATTTTTTTCTATCATATAATAACATTGCACTTTCAAAAATAATTTCTTCTGTGTGGTCTGAGCTTAGTGCTTAAAAAATTGGGTTTTGGCTTATTCTAGATGTGATTTTTTCAAACTACCATTCTTCAGTGGATTCTAACATACTGTGTACATTTCTCTATGAGCCTTACCCAACAGGTATTATGCTTTCAAACATAACCACCATTTTATTTCTCTGCCTCTGCTGTTATGTTGTAGAGTTTCTTTCACTGGAGTTTGTGTCACAATGGCATTGATGGGCTTGCAAACAATTCACTTTTCCTACCAAGTGATATCATTGGAGGGGATGTCTTGGTACCAGTTTGATTACATTGTGGCCTTTATATTGTTAGCATTCTTTTTCTCTGTTGCCTGCTGTATAGGACAGTCCTCAGTGAGTATATAACAAACTAGAACTTACATTATTTTTTTTAAGCTGCTCAGCGTAAAACTTGGTGGGTAGCTACTGATACTTCAACATAAACGTGGTAAAACTCGAGAGTATTAATTAGTAATGACAAATTATTTTGCTGTAAACTAATTATACATAATATTATAATTATTATGTATAATTTGTTTAAAACTACTTTAGAAAGGTTGGTATTCCTAATTTAATTTTCTGTTACTAATATACATAGCCAGTAAAGAATAATTTTTAAAGCACTTTAATTTTATTTTGGACAGTAAAAGGTTTGTTCCATTTATTTATTTTTAACTGTAGTCAAGGCCATTGCCTGATGTTAATTTAACTTAAGATTTGGAAAATCAGTCAGTTTCAGGTGTAGTGAAACACACTCGGGTGAGTTTTTATGTTAATCCAACAATAGTTTGAGTAAACAGAAAGTTTACAACCCTTACTTTAAATTAAGATGTATTATAAAATATGTGTGTAGATAGGATGAGGGTGTTATGCTTGAAAAATAATCAAACAGGTAAGTTTTGTGAAGGGACTGTTCAATCATGTTGTTATTACACCTTCTTTAGCACAAATATATGGGATATACAATACTTTTTTCCTATCCAGCTTAAATTTACTTTTACAAGGTTAAATTAAAAGTAATGCAGCCTCAGTTGCAGTATCTGTTTTGTGTGTTTGTAGGGGGAGGTGGGGGGGGGGGGTTAAGACACAGAATTTTTTTTAACACCCTTTGCAAATAAGACCAACACAACCAGTCTCATTTTTCCATAGTGTGTAAACTTGCAGTGACAAGTGCTGTAAGTTTTTGCTGTATGAAGGATAAGAAGTTTATTGTAGATTTTAAAAAGCATTCTGAAACTTGCACTCAGTTACTTATCAGCTCTAAAGACAGACTGGTTTTCCAGTGGTTCTCAAAGCTGGTTGGAATTATAAATTATTTGCTTTGGCTGGACCATAGTTTGTGATATCATGAGCTGTATCACAGCCTTGATGATAAACTTGTTTGATGAATACTTGAACCTCTAATCATGTTTGTTGTCAATACAATCCCTATTTTTATCTATGATAGATGAATTTGTTATCCTGATTGAGACTTTTTAAATATTGTATAATTATGTAGAAAATAAGCATTTGTTGGATAATAGAAACAAAACAATACAGTTTTATATATTTTGGTAATTCAAACTTCTATGCCTCATTTGTTATCAAAGTTTATACTAATAAAGGGAATGGTCTCTAAGAAGGGCTACTAGCAAAAGTTCACCAGCAGTTGAGGGTTTAATGTGTATTCCTTATTCACTAACCGTAATCCCACATTATATCTTTTTAGCAATAGTTCTCCATATTTTTCCTTTTTTTTTAGAAATGTAGTAGTAACATTCATTTTTTTAAAAATATCATTACTTTATTATTCTTTAAAACAAAGCTTTATTACATGTATCAGCATTAGCTAGTATAATCACTCAAGAAAATGGTAAACAAATGTGGATGAATAAAAACTTGTTACCGTGGCTGGATCACATTTTATACTATACACATTTTTATTAGTTTTTGTAATGTTATAGTTCATTTTTTAAAAATCTCTTCTTATGTAGACTATAGAATCGTATAATTATTACTCTACAAGAAATAAATTTTTCAAGCTGCGTTAAATGTGGAGTAAAAATAATGCAAAAAAGAAATTTAAAAGCTGTCATAATGACTAGTCTTATGTTGCTGTTACTCAAATTTGTGTTTATATATGGCTTTTTTTTTTCTATCTTGTTTAATAGCACTTTTTTTTTGTTGTTTTTTTTTTCAACCTAAATATATAATAATTTTGCTATAAAAGAATATTTTACTGCTATCCTTTGATGAGTATCAAGTTTATCCTATAGATTTAACAAGCACTAAGTACTACTAATTTTTATTGTATGTAGAAGGTTAAAGGTAAAGGGAGAGATTAGGACGTAAAATTGCTAGATTTTTTTAATACAGTGTCTTTTCAAATACATAATAAACATCAGTTGTTGGGTAGCTTTTTAAAGTGTTGAGACTTTTGTAGTTAGTTTCAAAAAAATTAATTACTGAATTTTAATGTATATAAGTTATGGAAATCACAGTCAGGCGGAGTTAAAAAATGTTAACACTATGTGGTGCTAAGAATATACACTCAAAATAACGTCCTAAGTTTCTTTTAATCAAAGTTATCTTTGTTTATATATTGCTTTTGATTAATAGCAAAGTGTGCTCTTTCTCGCTTGAATATATTTGTTTTGCTATGTAGATTTACTTTTCTTTGTTAATGTTTTAATGAAGAGTTCTTTTTACACAAGCAGAAAGCACTGATAACATTAGTTGGAGAATTATGTTCCAAATCTCTTTACTGGGATCTGTTACCCCTTTTCAGAGGATCATTTAGTATATTTGTGATGATGGTGAATTTCAATGGAGTTTTTACATTGAAATTCCTGTACACACTGGCAAAGCTTGAGCACTTTGCTCTGAGGGTGGACTACCTCTTGTCACTGCTGCTGATGTCTATTTATGGCTTTGTTGCTGTTAGCATTTTTTTAATCACAGTAAGTTATTACACTATTTACAACAATTGGGTAAAGCACATCGTTGTCAGCTTTAGGTTATATAAATATTACATCAAATAAAAAAGAGTGATTTACAACAAAAATAAAACTGATATTTTTTAAATTTCTATTTTATATCTTGAAATGTCTTTTTGTTTATAAAAAAAAAAGTCTTGCCAAAAAAAAATTTTTTTAGGTATTCCTAAATTAAGTCATTTTTTGTATTTAGCTACATCAAATAATGTTTCAATTCTAAAACTTGGCAAAAAAATAGTTTACAGTTTTTAACTGTCTTTACAATTTCTGATAATGCCCTCACACTAATCTACAGATGTATAATGCAGCCAAGAATCTCACTTTAAATGAGCTGATCAATCGCAAGCGTTATTCTTACTTGCTGAACAAGGATAGGAAGTTTAGAAACCCCCATGATAAAGGGATATTAAAAAACTTAGCAGAATTTTGGCATTTAAATTCAGTTGATTGGACTCACATATTTCCATCATATAAAAAAATTTCTTCTTCAAAGGTTCATATTGTTTGAATAAAGAATTTAATGTAAATAGATATTGTGCATCATTTTTAGTAGCTATACAAGTCTTTTTATCTCTTAGATATTCCTATTATTACTTTTTAATCTGCTGAGAGATTTTACTATTTTGTTGATTCATGTTATTTATTAAATAAATAACTAATGTACATACATTTTTAAAAAATAACTTTATTCAATCTATTTTTTTTTTATTTAATAAATAAAATATACTGCTGATCTGATTTCTAGCCACATATATAAAGATATAAAAGATTTTTATCAAGAGAGTGTGTGAATAGAACTGTAATAAAATTGCTGATTGATTTCTACATTTCTAGCCACATAAATAAAAAATATTTTAAAAATGTATTATGAGGCTTTGTTAATAGAACTTTAATAAAACTTTTACAAAATTACAAAAGAATCATGTTGGCTGGATTTGTGTTAAACTAAGAGAATGAAACCAGTGCATTTTGTGTAGTTGTAAAACAGTCCATTGGGTGTTGACATTACTTTTAAAAAAAAAGGTTTTAAAAATGTTTCTAAACACATGTACTTGTTTATTTGCATAGAAGAGTTAGTTTAATGTTAGAAATAATTATTTTCCTTTGTTGGGTTACTAATGCGGTATACATATTAATAGTTATTTGTATAGGTTATATACTGTAGCTGTATAAGTGGTTGGACAGTGCCCTTCATATATACAATTTTACATATAGTTTTAATAATACAACTAAGCAGTTAGTTTCTGTAATGGAGTATTACTGTATCCTGGCGATGCCATCTTAATCAAGGTCAGTATGTCAATAATAGTTTTGGTTCAAAATGTCAAGCACTCACAGGTAAGTTGATTTTTTTTTCATTACTCATCCAATCACTAGGAGATTTTTATTGTTTGATACTTCATTATTTTCCTCCATGTGTATATTTGGTAAAGAAAATTAATTAATTAATAACATAAAGAAATAGTCAAGTCATAGCTTGATAAAAATGAAGTTTAATGAAGCCTTGTATAGTCTAATACTTGTTCTGGTTCTCTCAGATATACCATGCTGCTCGCAACTTAACAACCAATGAGAGGATAAACTTCAAACGCTACGACTACCTCAAGGACGGGAAAGGTGCATTTTATAACCCTTTTGATAGGGGGGTGAAGACAAACTTGTTGGAGTTTTTACATCTGCGTCAAGGCCAGAGAGAGGACGAGGTTCAGTTGTTAGGTGTCCATATTGTTTGATGTGGTGGGTTCTTACATAGGTGCAGGCGGCAGTTGATTTCCATATCATAGTAAGAAAAAAATTAGTCTAAGGCATAGAGCATAGGTTACTGTATATAGTGACGAAGTCAACTTTTCAGTATGGGGTCACCCATAGATGATGTCATACTTTTTTGTTTACATTTTTACATCTATTCCCCCCACGCAGCATTACAAAAAGCCAGACATCCCCCCCCCCCTCTAAAATAATGTCACACCACAGCCAACAACCCTCTTCAAAATTGCAGTTTTTTAAACATCAATTTTGTTTTTAAAATATTGACTGTGTTTGGTCAACTAATAGAGTATATTAATCAATCTCCATTATAATTTAACTTAAACAGATTTCTAAAATTCAAACTAATGGCTAAAATTCAGTTCTAACATTACTATTTGTAAATGCAAAAGTGTGACATCACACTATCTGAACCCTCCCCCTCACCACACTTAGTCATAAAATTAAAAAAAAAAATCCACCTCTAGAAGTGACATCATTTATGGACAACCTCTGTAGTTACTGTTTAATTTTTAGCACAGCATGTTACCAGCATTCTTTTTTAAATGATCAATTTAAAAAGCAATGGGAAAAAGAGTTACAATTAAGTTACCAATTCAAACTAATCAAATAGTGTGAGCAAAAGCTGTTTTTATAAACTCAATCTATGTCCTGTTACATTTTTTTCTGCAAAGTGTTTTCCTAACACAGACTGCTTTGTTTTATATGAGGATTAACTGAAATCATTACTATACATTTTTTATTGACTATTTACACCATTATGCCACATCCCAAGTCAAAAACTTTGTCACTAGAACAAAATCATCATTCCTTCTCCTGTCACCCTGGAAGTTACATACCAAAGTCATCTATTTATTAACAGAGTAAATTAAATTATAGCACTTGTCCATAAGTTTTTGAAGCAGAATTGCGTTCACTGCCAGCAATACATTTTATGTTTAAAGGCAACTTTTTTATTTAGTTTATATAGCTTTTTACAGATGATTTGTTGAACTGTATATATAAATTGTTTACACAAAATTGAATTAAAATTAATTTTTTTCTATTTATTTTACTCAATAATCTAACCACCAAGGATAATTTTTTCTTTCTGTTTGTTGTATTAGCACATAAGACACCACAGATCAATAAATATACATTTATAAATACACTTTATTAGGCTGATTTTCTATAATATTATATACACCTTACAAAAAATACTTTGTGCAAAATTTCCCACTTGTTATAGACTTCTAAAAGTCATCTTTTAAGCTGTTTTACATTATAACTGTTTCATTTACCCAAACATATTCTTCTATATAAAACTTGATGTTAAAAAATATTGTCAGAAATGTTTTGGTTGAATCAGCTAATCGTTTTTTTTTTCTACAAAAATAAACACCAATGCCAACTTACCTGCATAATTTGTTGATTTTGTAACTTACTTACTTACTTACTTACTATAGAGGTATAAGAATCACACTGATAGAACTATGTTAATTATGTTACTGTTTTACCAAAGATCAACTACCAGTTATTGGAGTCTGAATAGGGTTGTTTTTTTTTTTGTATTTTTATATTGAAAGCTTCCTATAATTGCAAATTGGGAATTAAAGATGTACACATTATAAATTAGAAAATATTTTACTGAGTGACTATCCCATATTGTGATACTTTTTGTGCACATTTGTATCCAAACAAATTAGGATAAATACTGTTGGCAAAAAAAAAATATTTTCAGACAATTTTAATACAATTTATTAATAATTATAAGAGGCTACTATTCTAATTTAGTTGCATGTATATTTACTAAATTAACTCTATACACATGAATAAAAAACAAAACAATTAAGCATTTTGGTGGAAAGGAACAAATGCTGGTATATAAATGAAATAAAATAAAGTCTTATTATTTCTTTACTTGTTATAGTATTGTGTTTTTATTTAATAATAGTAATGTTAATTATTTTCAAAACGTCCATGAAAGGCATTAGTCTTTATCAATCTATTCTATCAACGATACAATACTAAATCAGATTGAAAAAAACAGTTCAAAATTCACTATTTCATTATTATAAAATTTAAAAAATCTGTGCACAAATAAGTTTTCATCCTCTGTGTTTATGAGATTTTTTATTAAGAAAGTCTATTTTAGGCTGTGAAATGTAATATTTACTACACATGTGAAAAGATTAATATAGAAACATACTCTTTATTTTCTCTTCACGTTCATTTTAATTTAAACTTTAATGATATTTATATTTTGAAATTGTTTTCATTTATATGGGTGTGGATTAAAAAAAAATTTCTTTTTTTTATTTATTTTGAAACACTTTTTATACACTTTTTTAAAGAAATTAGTATTTATTTAGCCTGTAATCATTTCTAGGGAGCAAATTTTATGGCAGGACCACCACATAAAATCATCCATAACACCCTTCCCCCTTAATTTTCCCTAGAAATAGTCAACCTATGAATGCTTTTGTAATTTGTATGGCCTTCATTAATTAGTGACTGGAGTTTAAATCACAATATTTAAAAAATGGGTGATATAACTGCATTTCTCAGCTAGTTCAATGTATTGGCATTAATTTCTTCAACAGTGACAATATCACCTATAATATGATCAGTTTTTGCTTGTTTGTAAAATAAGTTTAATCTTAAAAGTAGGCTACATACTGAAATTTCTTGTATCCCACCTCTAATAGTACCTGCTTCAAATTTTTCAACTACCAGTACTTTATAAACTGTTTCTTTTAGCCTTTTCTCCAATTATCAATAGTAATTGTAAGTGTTCTTGTAAGTTTTTATACAGGTTTCCTTCAAATGCTGCTTTATCTAGTGCTGTCTTCCATTGAGCTAAAGAAATATCTCTGGTTTTATTGAATGAGATTTTAGTTTTTACCAGAGAAAATGTTAATCTACTTTTTGTGTTAAATAGTAATATACTTTACTTGGCATGTCTATTCATATACATCTGGATTGTGTGATCAAACTACGTGTAAAACAACAGAAAATAGTTTTAAAATTGAGCGTAGATTGGAGATTTTTATGTCCATACACCATACCATTACACATTCAAATATGTTTCATTGACTATCTCTTTTCAAGTATGTTGAATTAAAAAACTGTTAATGTTTTAGTGTTTCAATTTTGTTGAAGAAAAACATAATTACGATCACAGTTTGGTCATTTTTTTTCTTAAACTGTTGATGTTCTCACATTAGAAAAATGTTATTATGAGAAATAGTCTAAAATTATTTAAAATAATATATTACAAATATATTTGAATAGCAAAATATAAATAGTAAGAATTACTCGAGTGTCTACCTCTGTTGTTTTATCTATATATACAACTATGATCACTATTGAGAGAAAAATACTGAATTATTTAAACGTTTAATGCTTAGGATTAATTTTTTACTTCATTTAGTAAGAAACAAAAAAAGTAAGAAACAAAAAAATTTAGTATTTAAAGATTTAAAAAAGTGTATTTATGCAAGATACTTTTTGGTTGAGAAGTAAGTGAGATCATATTATGTTTATGCTCTTCACTTTATCTTTAGTACATAACATTGTAAAAAAGTGATCTGTACAGCAAAAAAAAAAATCACGTTTTAGTTACCCTGCACAATATTTTTTCTACCTCTCTGTACTCAACCTCTTTAGTACAAACTAATGAAAGTAGATGATGCAGTTGCATGAAAATCATTTTCATAATAAATGTAATAAATCATTTACTGTCATAAAAAGTCTATTAATGTTAAAGAGATAATGAGACTCACTGAAAAATGCTCACTATGATGTAATGCAGAGAAGGTTAGAGAAAACATGAGTTTTCAAAACAACAATAAACTATGTTTGAATATGCTATGCCTGAATAACAAACATTGAACATCCTTACAATATGTCCGTTTTAAACATTGTCAGTTTTTGTCAGGTAAATCTTAAATCATTGTTATCAATATTTAATTGAGGTAAATTCAAAACTATTGATTGTATATGTATTTTGTCATAGTCAGCTTCATTTTAGATTAGCTTATCATTTGATGTAGATTTTAAAAAATGAAATTAATGCATTTCATGATTCAGCAATTTAATCAAAATTGTTTTGGTTTTTTTGATTATTATTGTTTTGTTATATTTTAAGGTCCAGGTTAAAATAAGTCTACACATGCATCTATACAGTATATAGATTATACAAGTATACAGATTGTCATAAACCCACAATGACTATTGAAACAGGCATACTATTGTTCAAATTTATATCTTTTTTTTTAAATTTTTGTTATTGTTTTGATGGACAATTTTTTTTTTCTGACTTGTTTACATTTTTTTTTTCTTTAACAATTGTACTTCTTTGTAAAGTAAAATATCGTTTTTGGAGATGTTTGAAAAATAAAATTAATTAAAACAATATTTGACATTTATTGCATGAGGTGAATCAATCTTCTTGTTCTCATTCAGTTAAAAAGATGACATGGAAACTCTATTCTGTCACTTCAACTTTATATACTTTGTGTATACTTTATTTAAAAGCTGGCCAGAACTTTATAAACAATAATCTTGCATTATGATTATGCACTAATCCGACTGCTTAAATTCCAACTTGAGTATTTGACCACTCTTTCACAAGACTCTGCTACACAAAACCATAACCCCACATCTCTAATGAAAATGTAGAACAACTAAATCCTCCTTGTTTCATGAATAATTATATTAAATAACAATAACATTGTAGTACATATTTTGTAATGAAGATTGGAATACGTTTTAAACTTAATTTTGAAGTACCTAATGCTTAAGTGATGTTTAAACTACTTCATCAAATCCAGTTCAAAAATGAAGACACTGGAGAGTACATTTTTTCAAATGTTGAGAAGAAAAATTTTAATCAGCACAGAAGTGTAAGTAATTTGATGGTAGAAAATCTGCAAAATATTATTTGTTAGGCCTTTTTATATATTGGAGTGCGTGTTGCTGTGATATCAGAAGAAATACCAATATAAAAAACAAAAATCTTAACAATTTATCAAATGCCATAGCTAATTCAGTGCTTAAAATAATTAATTTAAAACTCGGTTTTAACCAATTTTTTTAATTTCACAGACATATATATTCTCTTGGTTGCCCATCTAATTTCTATATTCTCAAAATGGAAGATCTGTCACAATTTAAATTTTATGATATTGTTGGAACCTAATAGAAATGTAGTTTATAGCTATAACCAAGCTATAACCGAAACATGATACGTAATAAAGGAGTAAACTTTTTTATCTTAGACCCTACCAGGGTTTCTTCCCCCCCAAAAAAGTCTACCCCCCCCCCCCCCCAATGAATTGAAAATTATATAGAAAATATATACTTTTAACACTGTCACTTAAATAAATTGTGTGTAAATATTTAATTTATATCTCTTTTTGATAAGGTTCCATTTTTTTAAAATGGTAATAATTGGATGATAAATATTTGGTTCAAGTTATTTTTAATAGATCTATCTAGAACTAGATCTAGAATCTAGGTCAACATTAGTATCCGGTTTCCTTTTCGTAGTTGGGGTAATGATATGACGCATTTGCTTTTGTGATGGTGAAATCATTTGGCTTTTCTATATTGCAAATCTAGACTAGATTCTACTTAATCTGCTTGTTTTATAATTTTAAAAATGTCCGTGTACCATGATGAAATAGAAATTGAAGATATGGAATATGACAGTGATACGGAAACTTATTATTACCCATGTCCATGTGGAGACAGGTTTGAAATTACGAAGGTTGGTGAGCCAGAGCAGACTTTTTACTTTTACTATTTTAAATTATTTGGAGGGTCTACCTACTAGATCTATTAGATCTCCTATTAATTAGATCTAGGCGTATTTTATTTGCCGCTTCACGCTCACCTCCGGTTGAGTGTATAAACTTTAAAACTAATATTTTAATATAAACACAACCTAGATCTACGTCATTTTGACATTTAGTCCTAATAAATCTTAAAAGGAGTGACTGCACTACTAGTGACTAGATCTAGTCTAAAAATTACCACAAAAAAAGCTTTTAGCCCCTAGCCTAGGCTGGCCGGCAGAAGACACATAAAACTCAATAAAAGGGTAAAATGGGCTGAAATTCAAATTAGTACCTTAAGAACTGTGCAATGGTCTGAAACTACCCAAAATCACAAAATAGTAAATAGCTGTGCAATGGGCTCATTATTACTCTTTTGGCCTTATTCCTCTAACAAAACTAACTGTATCGTGTGGTTAAGCAGGTGCGATTTGGGCAGATCGTCGGGGGGATAGAATCTAGTATATATATCTAGTTCAAGTTGTAAAGATATCTACCCATCTAGTCTGTAACTAAAGTAACTGTAAGGAAAGTATATCATCTTTTAAATAAATATTTTTAATAGCATATGGCAGGAAACAGATTCAACTCTCAAACATCTACTTTTAGGGTCGATTTTCGCCAATTTTCAAAGTAACAAATATTGACATATTATATATCAATTTTGTTGCTTAACAATCGAGGAATTCAAAAATATAAAAATTAATAGCACTAGACATTTACATCACGTTCAAAATTTAGATTAACCACACTCACTCAAATGACTTTTTTTTACATCTAAATGTAGTAAGGTCTAAAATCCACGAAATTCACAAAATTCACAATATAATTACACAGAAATGTCACTTAGGCATAAATTTATTTGTAATTATGTCAAACTTTACAAAATATACCAGTTTATAGCTTATTTCTATAATTATTCTTGAAAAAAAAACGACCGCTATCCCCTTTAAAAAATGTTCAAAATTCTGGCTTTTAAAAACACTCTGGGGAAGAAATAACAGTTAAATATAGAAGGTCTATATAAAAAATATTATTAGTAAAATATGTCTATATGCCAATTTTTATTATAGTTGCAGCATTTACATGGCTAATTATAATTGTTTAGTACTTTATAAATTAATTTAAAGTTACGACTGTCTGTGGCCTCATTCAAATAGTGTGGTGTCAGTGAACTGGGTGTTAGTTAGGGCCTGATATGATTTCATTAGAATTGGTAATGAACAGAATGTATCATTAGAACTGGCCTATAAAAACAATGTTGATGATAGATGCAGTAGTTTTAATGCTACTTATAATAGATCAAAATGACAAACATAATTAAAACCTAAGAATCTGGAAGCGGTGACCTCATTTTACTGACACGTTTGTCAAATAGTTAGTAAAATCGATCTAGATCTAGAATCTACACGTAATTTTGAAAATACGCTAGATCTAGAAGCAAAATCACTTTTAGAAAAACTAAAGTTAGTGATTAGTTCTGTAATGAAATTGAAATCCACAGCTAATATGTAAGTATCTTTTGATTTAAAAAAAAAAATACGCGTAGTTCTAAGAAAAAAAAAATTTCTACGGTGTACTCGATCCCTATCCCAAAACGTGCCAGCCATATCGCATGCGTATTCAGCTACTCAGCTGCTTATCAAATCTTCGAATTTTAAATTTATATAATAAAAGTAGGTCACCCTAAAAAAAAGAGTACAATGGCTCCCGTTTTCACGACAGCCGTCACTCGATTCATAATTTACAGAGTTAAAAAGTTCTAGTTTCTTTTGGCTATAGATTTGAAGAAATTTAAATTTGTTATATCTCATGTGTTCCAACAATTGTACCTAATTTTAATAAACATTACATTAGTGAGGACTCGGTTCTTTTTAGGATTAGCCCTCGACACTATACAGACTATTGCGAAGAAACAGACTCGCGCGAATGTCGTGCGTAGGCTGGTTCAGTGGCGAAGGTTAGAAGACAATTTCAGACGGAAAGTTTTTACTTTGAAATAATTACATTATCAATTAATTTCGATTTAAAACAAATGGCTTAAAGTCAAAAGTAAACTAACATTTAAAAACTTTGTTATTCGCAGTGTACTCAAGATTCTCATGTTTTAAAGATAAGTCTAGTTTTACTACGTGTGCGTGCATGGTGCGAATACCGATTTTCCGCGACAGAAAATCATTAAAAATAAAAAAAAAGTATCTACGGCAAAATAATAATTATATTTTACAGAATTAAATAGATTTAACTTAACTGTTATTTAAATACATGCTTCGGAGTAAAAAAAATACAATTTTATATCCGTAAAAAATTAACTGAAATTCCCGCTTTCAGCGACGCCGATGTGTCGTAATTTTCGGCAGTCATTTTGTTCAAATTAAAGTAAAAAACGCATTCAAATATACTTTTTTTTACTTTCATAATTTACAGCAATCATTTCTAATGAAAAATCCATAAAAAAATAATAGTTATTTGTACAAAATATTATTTCTTACCTTATTAGTGCAGTACACGTACTTTCCAAGTAGATCCATTCCGTCTAGATTTGCATACTTCGCATCCTTCGCCGCGGCACAAAATGTCATAAAAAACGAATTCCACAAAAATGTTGCTAACGAAGCTTGTAAAAACCTTGCTCTATTTATCAGTATAAACAAAATCCCCGAACGATGTCTGGTTAGAAAGTTTATGAACGGCGAAGACCGAATATGCATTTTGCGGTACCAATCTGTTTCCTGCCATATTTAAATCTACTAGGCCTATGTAAGTTTTTATCATGTTAATCCAATCAGCACAACTCATAGGCCTGAACAACGAACATTTAGATAAGAAAAACCAGGTCACTATAGACCAGGGGTCTCCAAACTACGGCCCGCGGAGATCTTTTTGTCCACGGAAAAAACGTTTGTTGGTGATGGCTGAGGAACTTTGCCCAGAAAAATAAAAAACATGCCTGGAAGAAACTGGCCCCCAAACTGAAATTTGATAGTTAATGCGGCCCTCGGACTGAAAAGTTTGATTGCTATAGACTATAGCGCTGTTTAGTAAATATGCACAACTTCCAGCTAGAATCGGCAAATCTTAAATGGCTGCTACACAACAGAAAACTTGATGACAATGATGAAGTTGCTTAGTAATAATAAAATGTACTTGTAAAACATGTGGGCAATAAATAAAGATAAAATTGACAAACTGATCCATAGGCCAACTGTACACATTATCTATATATATTTTAGAGATATGGTCTGTTGAGCTTACGTCTTGGTGTTGTCTCGCATGATCCCCATGAAGATGTTGTGTAGTCAGATTTTTCTCATCCTATAAATGTCAGTGGGTTTGACCAAATCTAAAAGCAGTATGGGAAAGTAAAGACAAATTGCATTGGTGCTAGAAATTGAGAGGAGAAGGATAGTTTATTATATGATGAGGAAACTGGAAACAAGTATTACCAGACATGACAAAGCTGATGGTTCCATATGATGTCTCCTGTATAATTAAGCATTTGTAACTGTTGAAATCAAAGCATGATTTAATCTACAATTTTTAAGCAGCCCATGCTTGAACTAAGCTTCTATAACTAGGGTGTTTTATAAACCTGTTTTAATATTTCCAGGAAGAATTACAAAATGGAGAGGATGTAGCCAAGTGTCCAAGCTGTTCTCTTCTTATTAAAGTGATATATGATTTGGTATGATATATTATTTCATATAATTTTTATATTAATTTATTGATATGAATGTTCTCGCTACTTTTTAAAACTGTTTTGTTGTAAAAGTAATCTATATTTCAAAATTCTCTGCAGGATGACTTCATGATATCTGAAAAAGCTGTTCCTATCTCACTGAGTGTGGAGCCTACATCTGCTTAAGTTCATTTGGAAACATTTCTTAAAGAAAATTAATGCTTTCACTATCCTACTGAATCACCAGAACTTTTAAAACTGTTCATGTGCACACGCCTGTGTATTAAAATAAACAGGAAAAGTCTGCATATAATAAAGCTTGGACAAAAATACTTTATTTATTCTTGAATGGATTACAGAATTCGTGTCTCATCTTACTGTACTCCACCGAATGATGATATTATTGAACTAGATTTGGGCAGATAACATTAATAAAGGGGACTTGGTGCTCCCCTTTGTTTTTTGCAACAATGTATGAATAAGCCACAATAAAAAGAAATTAAGTTTACATCAGATGTTTTACATTTTTATTGTTGTGCTTTTATTCATCAATTTTAAAATTGTGTGCTTCTCAAGAGAGAAAGTACTGTTGAAGTTTTGTCAAAAAAATAACAGCTTAGTGTTTTGTTAAGTGATCAGTTCTATGCCAGATATTTGCAACTCAGAAGCATGGCCAAGTTATTTCTGGCACTAGAATGTATGAATGACAAGTAAATAAGAACAAGAGTTCGAAAAGAACCAATTATGACACATACTTTGCACAATTCATTTCAGTCATTTTAATGAAACAAATCAAATGTGGCTAATTTAAAAAGCATTAATACAGCAGTCAAAACTTATCAAAATACTTATTGCATTATTTACACACCTAAGCAAATATATAAAACCCTCTGATAAAATATTTGCATGCTATTTGCTTATTGTTTGTGAAGATCTTGTCTCTGTCAAACACTGAACAGGGTAACTGATAGGTCAGGGAGAATCAAGTGCAACAGGAACTTTGCCGACAACACAATCCTTTTTATGACTTGAATGCTGAAGAGGTAGACACCTGACCATCATCATAAACAGTTTTTAAGGATATTGTACCATATCCAGATTTTGGACTAAACTGTTTTTTTTAAGTTAAAGAATGACTTGTCAAATATAAGTGATATGTTTAAGTTTAACCTTTACCTAAAAAATTAACCTGCAAACATTAAATCCTTATGTAGATAGCAGAGAATGGTGTGGTGGTGCAAATATACAAATTCTGCACAATAATCGATCAAGTAAAACAATAATTTTTATCAATTACAAAAATACAAAACCACATTTTGGATTGCTATATGTAAGGAAAAACTTTCAAATTTGATGTAATAATTAAGAATGTATTCTTAGAATAAAATTTATTTTGTTCGTTAACATATTTTTCAGATAGTCATTCTATAATTTAACAAAATATAAATAAAGAATTTTTACACTTCTTTCTATGTAGCAAACTATTCATCTACTGTTGTTTTTAGTCCACTTGAGACAAGATGGAAATTTTACAGATATATGGTACTTATATTATGTAACCCTTACACATCTTTCAGTCAAGACATTTTTGGAAAACATCCTCTCCAGCAATCTTGGCAACCTCTAAACGTTGTCCATCACCCTATCATGGTAAAACTGTGAGAGACCCCAGCTGAAGTTCCACCCCAAAATTAGTGACAAAATATAAATGAGGAGTACTGCAGTCATCGGAAACAGCAGGGTCCTTGTGTTTTTCAAGAATGGAAGTGCTGAGGATTTTTAAAATTACTATTAGAATATTATTTGGCAATAGATTTGCTGATAAGTACAATACATCATTATCACTTTGTACGAACAAAGTTTTAAAAAATTTACTTTTCCTACTAGAATATATATTTTTAATAATGTAATGTTTTTGTTATCCTTACCGCTGTAGCCCAAGAATGTAATGTAGATGTAGTAGCCTATAGCTAAAAGCCATAACGTGTTTCCAAAAAATCTTGAGAAAAACATATCCTTGTTTATAACATCTGAGGAGCATAGTATTTAAAATGTCGATAGCATCAAATGAACAAGATAGTAGGCAACCATCTTTAACTTAAAGATTAAATTAAAGATTAATCTTAAATTAAGATAATTACAATTACTAATGTCTGTTTACTAATGATGCAAAGCATACTTTCAGCATTTCTACAAAGATTGTTTTTTTTACTTTGTAAACAACAAAACTTACAATTGAGAAATGGCAATTGAAAGAAATGTAGTATCAACAACAAAGGAAAGAATGCATTGAGGTGAACATCAAATGCATAGCCCCATTCAACATCTTGCCCTCTGGGTGGATTTATCAACATGTAACGATTTGCAATAAACCTAAAGTGAAAATTTACCAACCATAATTGAATGTTACCAGTAATTAAAGAAAACAGGCCTTAACTATGTTTCAAAAATAATTTTAGAATGGTCACATTTAATAAAATATTTCATTACTTAATATACAATTATCTTGAAATACTAATTTAAAAAAATAAAGGAAGTAGCAGCACTTACCAAAATAAAGTAGCAATAAGCAGGCCCACGCCAATACAATCAATAAAGATCACCCACAATAAAAACTTGATAAAACCAAGAAAACCAAGACTTAGCGCTACTGTAAATCCAAGTGAAGACACTGTAATAATGTATAGTTAAAAGTTTGTAAATAAAAACAATTTCTCTGTTTAATACTTTTAAAATGAACTATGTAGAAAAATAAATTTTATAATTCTACAAAGGCAAAAATTAGCTCCAGATCAGAAAAGATTTCCAGATAAAAATCTGCTAGTCATGACGTGTATTAGCAGCGTGGTAGAACACATGACTGCTAACCCAAAAGTCACAGCCTCAGCTCCAGGGTTTGAGTCAGTTGGATGTCCCTGAGTCCACCCAGTACTATGGGTAAAGGGAACGTCAATTGGGTACATTGGTGACAAGACTGAGGTCTCAGAAACAGGTGAATTATCTACCCCATGATAGAAATACAAAAATATAAGTTTCTGAGAAAAACAATGTACTAACCACACAGCCAAAATGTAAGAAGTACAAGAAAAGCTGGATCATCTCTAGCCCATTGATCTTTAGTTTCTGTAAAATATTATATTCAATTTAAGCTAACTTAAACACCCTACAAAAACATGTCAACCAAGATAGCTTCTTTAGTATAACACATGAAATCTGATTATGTACTTAAAACATAGGAAAATACTAATTGGTCCTCTCTCCTCAGTCTATAAAGAATATCTTTGCCTATAGCTAATTCTAAAAGTTGACATAATCCCTTTATAACCCAACTTATGAACTTGATACAAGCTTGCTTAACTTTTTTTTAAATAAAAACTTCAATAAAAATAGCACACCTTTCAGTGGATGCAGCAGCAATCATTTACATATTTGTAGGAATTATTCACCATACATTGAAATTTAACTTCATTAACTTGAAATTATTGGTCAGTTTACAAGAAATATAATCATGTCTTAACTTAGCTACAGTATACATAATTCTAAGTACTTAATTAAGTATTAACTGCTTATCTCAGGTTATATAACTTACGTTTTCTATACTGAAAGTTTCTGTATCTGAAAGTGAAAGAAAAAAGATACTAATAAAATGGTTAAATGGGTGACCAGTAGACTATAAAATGCATAACTTTTTAGCCATATTAACTCTTAGTATATTAACTCTTTGAAAAGAATTGTTCAGTTTCTTTTATATTGTTTCATAATGTTAAATGTTACAAATAGGATGATAAAAGCTCTTACACTTTTTGGGGTGAAACAAATAAATAAATCATCTGCCAAAAGGCATATTCAAAGTCCATTTGTCTAAATTTAAACAGTCTTCTGAAGTATTTTTGTCTTTTTGCTGTTGCGGTGAGATGTGCCTCTCTGGTTTGAGAGCTAGTACTGCCATTGCTGCTTGTTCGACTCAAGAATGGTGAAAAAGGAGGCATTGATGGAGTTGGTGACACTGGCGGTGATATCTTTGTATAAGATGACATTTTGTGAAGACACTGAACTTAAAGAGAAAACATATAAATATAGGTAATTTAAATCATCATTATTGATAATAAATACTGGTCCATTTCATGCATTAAATATAACTTAAAATTCAAGTGAGGTAACTGGTTGGTAGACTAGAAATTTATAGTATAACTAAAAAACAACATAGCCAACTACTCAATTTTTGTCTCTAATAAAAAAAAAATAGTAATCTATTGACTTAACCATGGGTTAGTGAACTATTAATTAGAAGCTACTCATGTAATTACTTCTTATAACCTAACACAAGAAACACCATTAAATTAAAGCTGCATTTGTATAGCTTGAATTTGTTCAAGATTTAAGTGGCACTCTATCGCAACCTAAAATTGGATTTTATGAATTCTAGTATTCAGAAGTAGTTTTTATCATACGTTAGATCAGGGGTTCCCAACCCCGTGCCCGCGGGCGCCATGGCGCCCGCCGAACGATTTGTATGTGCCCACCTCTCACTATTCGACAGAGACAGAATTTTTTTCATAAACACTATTGAAAGGTTGAAGAGGATGGAAATCGAAAGTTTGAGGGGGGGGGGGGGTGCAAATCAAAAGTTTGAGGGGGGATGCAAATCGAAAGTTTGAGGGGGGAGGGGGGGTGCAAATCGAAGGTTTTGTCCCCGGATGACGGGAAGGATCGCTACGCCTCTGGAAGGAGTTTGTCGATTTAAAATAGGTGGTGCCCGCCACCCTACCAATATTTTAGAATATGCTCTAGAGTAAAAAAAAGGTTGGGAACCCCTGCGTTAGATGCTAACAATATCCCTTAAACTTAAGAAATGTCATTTTAGAAAATTATTTAAGTTAATGTGTAGGCCTAAATTTACTCAATCTCATTGCAAAAATAAAAAATAAACTAGGTTGCAATTTTCTCTAGAACGTGACAATAGCCTAAAAAGAAAGAAGAAAATGAACCATAGGGCTGAGTGATTCTGAACCTAGAACCTCTAGGAAAGTTATTGTGCTCTCTGCGCAGTCACATGTGTATTATTGGTTAATATTAAATATTTTGAATTTAGGTAATGTGTCATTTGACATGAAATTTTGGAAACAGTATAATTGCGAATTCACATCGTAATATACTTAAATAAAAAAATATTATAAATAGAAGGAATGTAGGCGCCTATAATTATTAATTATAATAATAATAGACCTACAGAGTTTGTTTTTTTAAGTTTAATAATCCTACTAGACTAGATCTAGTACTAGGATGTATCTATACTATAGATCTGGTATTATATTCTATTTCTAACTATTAACTTATTATCTAACTTAGTAACTTGTAACTAAACTTATAAACTAAGTGACTAAGTCAAACTCTAACTAGAGTCTAAATAGTAAATAGTAGTATTACTGTATTTACATTTAGTGAAGTGTGACTAACACTAAGTTAACTTAGTATGACGAAGTCTTGATGCTATGCAGCACTATAGATAGGCCATAGGCCTACATAATACATAAGTACATATAATTATTATATTAATATGAAATAGGCCTAGATATTTTAGAGTTTTATTTTTTACTTATCAAACACTAAAAATTGTCTCACAAAATAATCAAAAAGTGAGCAGCAACAGTTCAGATTTAGAGTTCAGGCCTCATGCAAGTCAAGAGTAAGATACAACAGTCCCACAAGCAAAACCAGCTTCACAAGATCAGAAGATCTAGATCTAGATCTAGAATTCTGCAACTAGTCAGTGCCAGGTTTATATTGCAGTTATTACATATTTCCACTGGTATAAGTAATTATTCGATAGATTGCTTCTTTTGAGTGTTCTTATGCGATTGGTAAGAATATTTTAACGTAACACTATTATGATATTCTGATATTGATATTGTTTACGAAAGCGACATCACAACAAACAACCCTAAGTTGCCAGCGAATAAGCGGAAATTATGTTTTATTTTTTACTGCGCCTGTGCAGTCAGGGGAGATAAATATTGTCGGTTAGGTCAAAAAGTATTTCTGGTACTGGTAGGCTAGAGGGTATAAAAAGAAAGATTAAGATAATAAATAAATTCTAGAGATTCTAGATTTCTAGGTCTCTGCAGTGCAAGACTGTATCTCCAATCCAAAGTCCGCAAAGCATTTCATGCCAAGAGTAAAGTACAAGTTAACAAGTAGAAATATCATCTAGCTAGATCTACAATCAACCATCATTTCATTGTCTGATAATTCAAAAAGTAGGCAAAATAAAGTAAAGCACTCAATAAATAAATAATAAAGTAGACCTAGATTGACCTAGATCTATAAAGTATATAAAAAAAGTATAAACTAGTCTAGAGATCTATTCTATATAAAGCAAAATCCGTTATTGTCCTAGCCCTATTAATTAATTCAATACTATGACCTCACAAAAAGTTATGCTTGATTCAGAAAAAAAGGAAAATTTTTATACTGGTGTCAGATAATGGAATCTTCTTTTAGATTACTGGTAGTTAACTAGATCTAGGGACTGCGTGGTCATGGTCAAATAATTTATCTTACTACTGCTAACCAGCAAGTCTCGAATTCGGAACCAGGGCTCGAGACTCTAAGACATTCCTGAGTCCACACAGCTCTGATGAGTACCTGACTTATGTTAGGGAAACAAAGGCAATTAGGCATAGATAGTGTTGACCATATTATCCCTCTGTATGCAAAGGTAATTGATAAAGGTGAACTCTATTGCATCTGACCCTTGTGTCTTAGAGTCTTAGACACTAATGAGTAGAGATAATGATGAAAAATCAACTAGCTTGCAATGTTATTGTTTTGTTATGTTATATCTTATATCCACTGATGATTTAATAGATTTTAAAAATAAATAGATCTAGGGGTTTTAAAAAAAGAAGAAAAATTAAATAATGGGGGTTGTACTTTTTGTGTGGATCCAAATCTAAGATGATTAAAGAGAGTCAAATTAAATGAAGCCTTTTGGTTTTGAGTGCATTGACCATAGGTGGTTTGATCAGAAGCATTTACATACTGTGTATTTAAATAGGATCAAGAGGATGCCAAAATTTTATGAAGACATAGAAGTAGAAAAAAGTAAAAAGAAGGTAGCTTGTGAAGATCTGCGTGATGACCTGTTGGAATGCCTACAAAATACTGACTGTGTCAAAAAGGTGTGTTCATTTCAGCTTTTCTTTTTAACTTACTGATCCAGTAATGTACATCTTATATAGTCAAGGGATATTTTCACACTCCCTATTTTGAGTGCCCTGGTTTTTAAATGTAAATTTAAAAATCATGTAAAATAAATATGATTGGCAGATTAAGGTAGATGTTTGGGGGTATACCTCCATTCTCTCCTCAGTAGTCAGAGATGAGCTTATAATAGTAAGCAGCCCATAATGAGATGGGTGTGCTGGACATTATTTAGAACAAATCCACTGGAAGACTGGTTTAAGATCTATTCAATATTTTGGGGTGCTGTCCTACTCTAATGCACCTTAACTGTTGACTAGTTTAGTTTTAATTCAAATCATCATGCTGCTTAGTTTTAGGTTGATTTACAATATACTTGCTGATGCTGTACATAATGACTATATTTTATTTTAAATACATTTTAAATAGGCCTAATTCCTTTAATTTTTATTCTTTTATCATACACTTTTCATAATCCAGGATAAAAAAACACCACGAGATTGTATGCGTCTAGAATCCCTGCCTCAGCAATGTGCAGTGTTAAGAAATAGCTTTTTTGAATGTAGACGATCCATGGTAGGTGTTACCTTTACATATCAATTCATGTGACAAAAAATGTATGTTATTTACATTTATTTAAATCATGTCTTGTAAAATGTAGAATTACTAACCAGATCAAATCAATCATTTCATACTTAAAATTCTTATAGATTTTATATCAATTCTCATTTTGAAATATGAATAATTCTCTTAATGTTTTTTTTTACTTACATGTTATTTTTTTGTCATTCCGCAGTTAGACATGCGAAATCGGTTTAGAGGAAGAAGGTATTATTAAATGTTTCAAATCTGTTCTGATTGGCTGTGATGAAGACTGAGGTGCATTGTTGAGAAGTACGAGCAAGAATGTTATTTTGTATCGTCAATGTATGCTGAGATTTTTCTTTAAATAAAATGTAATCAACACCATGTTAAGAGTTTTGCCTATATATTTGATTGCAGGTATTGTAAATCAAATACAAATTATGGGATATACCTTCTACTTGTAAAGTATAAATTTTATCAGTTTGTAATATGTCATTTCAATGTGATACTATCACATATCAACTTACTAGAAGTTCTAGTAATATATGTGACAGTATCACATTGAAATTACATATTACAAGCTAATAACAATTAAACTTTTAACATTTTAAAAGGGGCAGTAGAAAATAGTTCAAGTTCAATCAAAAGAAATGTATTGAATTGTTTCCCCTGTTTGAGTTTGTCAGTGTTTTAACAGACTGTTATTTGGTACATTTCACTGTTGCTTCAAAATAAATACTGGTAGAATGTATTGGTCTTATTTATCTTAAGCCATAAAATAATTCCATATTTTTATATTATAAGTACAAGGCATGTGTATGCACATTGTAATTTTTGGCTCTTCCGCCTCAAAAGGTTGCCGACCCCTGGTAAAGGTCTATCCTTGTAGCTCGACAGCCACGGTCTTCTTCAGTGTTTCTTCCAGACTATTTTTCGGGGGGGGGGGGGGGGGGGGGGGGGGCAGACACTGCTAAAAGTTATTGTTTTCTATATAAATTCCATTTTGTTTGGGGGGGGGATGGGCTCTGCCCCCACAAAGAGATGCCTGGAACAAAATTTGGTCTTCTTGGCCTGCTAACACATACTTGTCCACTAGTGAAGGACTTTCTCCGTGATATAGATCCATAATTCATTGATTCCAATAATAAATTTGCGACTCATCTGTTTTCAAAACCATGTAACAGATACTCAAACAGAGGTGAGGAAAGAGAAAGGACTAAGCAACTTTGGCGTACACATATTCAAATCATCACGCAGTGAAAGTAATTTTGGTGTTTAGGATATCCCTATCAGATTCATACACAATTCAGTCCTAACGGCTTGAAATTCGCCTTCATTTGTTATTTTTATCCTCTTGGCTGCTCCTAATACTAATACGTTTTTTGTTCTTTTCATTTCCCCACATATTTCCACAAGGAAAGCGGTGATTTCTTAAAGGTGGTTTAAGCCGACTAGTTCATTATTAAACAAGTACATCGCGGTGTTAATGAGATCTAATCAATCATCTGAACAAACAATCCCTGTTGCTAAGTTTGTTTGAGGCAAAGTTTAACTTTACGAGGCGTGATGTTCACTTCATTTTGGTCATTAGGTGATGTGTGTGTGTGTATGTTGGTCGTCCGTTAGCTGACGGAAAAAAAATTCGTGTACTAACCGGTCCAGTTCACACAAACAGTCGGTCGTGTAAAAACTCTCTAAATTGAAAAGCCTCTTACAATAACAAAGGGGGGACCATTCAAATTGAGCCTGTACGCCAGCAGGGGTTGATGTTGAATCTCTGGTCGTTCGCGTGTTTAGTAACATTCGAACATTCCATTCGTATTCACGCTGCGTGGACATACCCCCCCCCCCTCCCAAAAAAATGTGCTAAGCCTGTTGGCGGATCTATATCTAGATCTATATGGAGCTCCTCGTATTTTAAAAAAAAAGTGTCCTTTTATTACTTTCAAGATCTTCTGACCAGAGGCGTAGTGACCCTTCCCGGGGACAAACTTTCAATTTGGCGCCCCCTCGGGAACAACCTTTCAATTTTCCATTTGCACTCCCCCTCAAACTTTCATTTTTGCACCTCCCCCCCCCCCCCCCTCAAACTTTCAACTTGCCCGCCCCCCACCCCCCCCCCCCCCCCCCCCCCCCGATATACTTTTTATATTTATAATGCAAAACTGCAGCTAAAATGTGATTTTAGTTTGTTTTTACAACCCGTTTTGGCACCCCTATGGTCGGCGCCCGGGGACATATGTACCCCCCTCGCTACGCCTCTGCATCTGACTTTCCGTATGGCAGAACATTGGGGGGGGGGGAGGGGGGGGGACGAAGACAAGGCATAGTCCCCGATTTTTAAGGGCTCGATCCTTTTTTTTTCCTCTTAAAATATAGTAAAAGTCGTTCTACTATAAATTTATTTGTATGTATAGGCCTATAATATAGGCCTCAACCTTTAGCCAACACACCACTGGAGTGACTGGACTAATAAGAAAGGAGCTCAAAATATCTGCAGTGTATGAGATTACACTTTTTTTCTATTTACCGATGTCAAGATTCAATAACGAAAAGCCCATTTTAAAAACTGAAATTGGTTTGAGAATGAGATGACCGACCACCCCTGGAGAAATGATGGACTCGAGTCAATCCAATATCCGCCCTCCACGCCGCCACCCACCTACGTGTTCCTGCGGCTTACTTCAGCGTTATCTTGTCAGCCTTGTCACACTCTATTCAAGAGCTTATCCAATGATTACATAGGAACTTGTGGTCACAGAACTACGTTTTCAAACGGGCTTTAATATTCCGAATATTTCAAACAACATGGGGTGTTGCTAGGGGGGGGGGGCGTGATGGGGCGGAAGAGTAATGAGGGAGACTCCAAATAAATTTTCCTCAGTAAAGAAAAAGGTATAAGAATGTGACACGTTAATTTTTTTTTTAATTAAAAATATTTTATCTAGGACTGGTTCAGCAAGATTTGTGAAAGAAAAAAAAGTCAAACATTCTGTAATGTACAGCTAAAAACAACGTGTCTTCACTGAAGTGTTATGCTATTGTCAACTAGGATTGCAACATCATGTTTTATTGAAGGAAATGCCTAAAGGCTGTGTACTGTCAGTGTTACAATATATTTTGTAGTAATAAGTAGTATAGGCCTGAACACATTTAAGCAGCGACTGAAAAAATGGGAACACTTTTATTATTTATTTTATTTTAAATTTATAGTCCCAATGACAAACGTTTAAACAAAATACTTTTTTTTAAAGGCAAATACTCTTGCTCCACATTCACACATACACACTCACACACACACACATATATACACACATATATATATATATATATATATATATATATATATATATATATATATATATATATATATATATATATATATATATATATATATATGTGTGTGTGTGTATATATATATATATATATATATATATATATATATATATATATATATATATATATAGGGCCTATATATAATATGACTCTTGGCCCTATATTCCTATATTAATAGGTCTATATTAAAATACGTTTATTGCCAAGCTTTGTTCAAACAATAAATATTGAGGTCACTTAACCAATAACTAAAAACCTAATAGATAATAGATCTGCCACTTATGTTAACGTGCTAAATACTGTCTATGCGGATATAAATATCAACAGATTAGTGAAGATATTGACACCATGTCATACTTTAAAACCCGGACACCCATAATCCCCGATGAGTTATCACTCCACATAACGTATTCCCTTTTTTTTTTTTTTTGTTTTGTAGACAGCGCGTCGATGCGCCACATGGTCGAGGACACTGGCTTCTAAACACGTCTTTCTTGGCAGCTATCTCAGCCCTCATCTTTGTTAGCAGCTGTGTTCGTGTCTCAAAAGCACAACGGGTCGGATCGTTACCTTTAATAGTAGAGATGGGTGGACTCGACCTTCCCGTCACCCCCCCCCCCCCCACCCCTCTCTACTTTAAATCTTTGACCTTCAGTGCAAGAAACCCGCCCATGACAACGTACTGTGAAGTGTGTTTATTTAGCCAGCGTATCGATTAGCCATATACACATATTAAGCTAGTGAAGAAGGTAGAACCGATAACGATTTTTTTAAAACCGTGGCTTGGGTTCAGGTTAGCGCTAGGGTTAGCGTGGGTTCAGGTTAGCGCTAGGGTTAGCGTGGGTTCAGGTTAGCGCTAGGGTTAGTGTGGGTTAAGGCTAGTGCTAGGCATGTTGGCTTATTATTAGGATTGGATTATGTGTGTCATTCTCGCGGTTGTCAACTGTGCGAATGTGTAAGCTGTGTTTCTTTCAGACATTTTTCTCTGGGTAGAGGGGAGGGGGCTCTTAAAACTTTTGATGGAGGGGGTCGGAAACTAGCTGAATTAGCCTATATATTTTGTGTATTAATTATATTTCGTTGCGAAGGGGGAGGGGTGGTTCAGATGCCTGAAAGAAACCCTTTAAGTGTAAACACCGTACGCTAGTCGACAAGTAAGCCACCACTTGCGAACCAGCCACACAAAAAAAATCAATTTTTAATACTGCGAGTGGCAAAACCACATCCGTTTTACTTGTAAAACCTCATCACAGAATGCCAGATACCCCAAAATGACGTCACAACGACCCGCCCTCTCCTCTTTATTATTCTAACAAAATCAATGTTATTCAGGTAGGACTACTAGCTACTTACTTGTAATATGACATTTTGGGGTCCTTGAAATACAATGAAAAAAGGGTAGGGGGGGGGGGGGTGATACACTTACGGGACGCTAATGATTTTTAAGTTCCTGCTTGTGTTCCCCTATTATACGAATTGGGTTAACAACATTAAGGATAGATCTAATTCTATATAGGAAGTGAATATCGTTTATATTTATCAAAGTATGTTTATATGCCTACACCAGTGGTTCTTAACCTGTGGTCTATCGAACCCCAGGGGTTTGGGGAGTTAGTCTCAGGGGTTCGGTGGAGGTCAAGACAAACCCGAATCATAAGTCACGATCGGATTTTGTCAGTACGGACGATAGAACTGTTAAGATGGGTTCGGTGAATGCGCATATGAAACTAGTCAAACTAGTGGGGTTCGGTACCTCTAAAAAGGTTAAGACCTACTGGCCTACACTGCCCTACAAGTTTCGTACTTAAAAATAAAGCATTGGGTCTCGTCAACTCCCCTTCAAAAAGATAAATATATGTTACACTTACAGATTACAGATACGATACTATCTATCTCTATTCGTTGGGCAGGGGTGGGAGTGGTAGGAGGTGTCTACTGTAATAAAGCTGTTTAATAAGAAATATGCCAAAAATAGAATATTACGAACCAAGGTCTAAATCGGTAGATTAGAATGTCTCTATTGCCCTTAACAACGGTGAATTATTTGTT